CATTAAAATTCCCTCTTGAAAAACAAATCAGTATCCATGTCTTCTTTATATGAATTATCATATCCAATTAATTAATTTGGAGTAAGGCAGCGAGGAGGCTAACTGTAGAACAAAGTGATTTCACGCGTGGTGGCCCGCGAGGGCAGAGGGGTTGGTTCGAGCATAATCGCGAATTACATGTAATTACTGGGAGAGCGTGACCTGCCACTGCGAACGATCAACCCCTTCCTTATTATCCCTTAATAATTGAAACGATATGCTTGTTATTGCAAGACAAAACCCCCTGATTTGTATTTAAATAACAATGCTAATTGTCTGCGGGCCTACAATATTTTTTGGCTAAGGATTTTTCTTTTCTATTTTTGATTTGACTATGTATTCGTTACTTACTAAGGTACATCTTAAGTACAGACTTCTATGATTATAGATACTTAAGTAAGTATGTTATTTTATTTATTGTTTTGTTCCTTATACATAGTACGCAGTAAATAATTCGCAGAAAAAATATCTCTGCAGAAAATATTTTAGATAGATATTGACTAACTAATATAGACCTGAACCAGTTAACTAAGTTCATATGTTGACCGTGACGTAGATGCTGCTAGGGACTTGGCACCGGCAAAATAACTGACTTGACTACAGTGCAACACGTCCCAGACTTGAATCTCGTATTAAACAACTATTATTTTATGACGTACTAACTACTCTCGTGCGGTTTCACCCGCTCGGCTCCATTTAATCGTAACGTGATGTTTCGTAGCCTATAGCACTCAGGAACATTGTAGCTATCTATCAGTGAAAGAATTTTAGCAATCCGACCAGCGGTTCCAAAGATTACCCCCTACATACAAACTTACAAATTTTACCTCTTTATAGATTTATTGTTATTGTCCATTGCCTTAATAGGTACCTACATATCCTTGCAGGTTTATAACTGTCATGCCTCGGTGCTAAGTAATTACTGTCCAATTCTTTTTGAACACCTACCTAACATCCTTTATGCCAAAAATATGGCAGATAAATGAGAAATGTTTTATTACTAAACCATATCAACTGCTGCACCACTAAACGTATTTAGATTAGGTAGTTAAGAAAACATCTACATAAAAATCAAAAGAACATTGTTACAAAAAAATAAATGAACAAATATTTTAAATTTATATCTATGGATGATAATATCTACTTGGAACGATAGGGTTGTAGCTGCCGGCAGTGCGGCGCGGGTTCGGCGGGCCGTGAGCTGACGTTGCCGGCTCTGTTTGTTCACCACGGTCAACATTGTTAGTAGCGCGCCCCGCAAATGTTATTACATGATTAACCCGCAGCTAACACGTATCCCACTTCTGTTTAACCTAGCTTTGTTAATTGCCCACTTTGAAACTGCGTACATCAAATTATTTCATCAAATCAAACAATATGTAGGTTGGATTTAGGCTCTTTGTGTTGAGCTAGCCGGTTTTTGCAATGATAAAGTTATTTAGATATATATATCTAACAGTTATGTATGTGATAGTGTTTCATGTTTCATTATTAGTGACACGGTTAGGTAAGGCGTCCACTTCCCATGCATGAGGATTCGATTTCGAAACCTGGGAAGTAACAATATGACTGTTTCCGAGTTGCATGTTAGTTACTTCCCAAAATTGTTTAGACATCACTGACGTATGGTGGAAGAAAAAATAGTGAGGATAACTGGACTTACCTAATTAATTATACTTAATTATATTTACATTCGCATAAATAAGTGTGGAAGTACCATACATGCTTCGGCACGAATGTGTCGGCTCCACCGGAATGGTGCCACGGCCTCAGAAAACACCTGCGTAAAACAAGCACAGCGTAGTGTTTCGCCATGTGAGTTAGGTTCCACCCCTAATCCCAAAATCTCCAAACCCCTAATTCCCAAAAGTTCGGCGACTCACTCGTAACTCATCCATCGTTGCGGGTGTCCATGGGCGGCGCTGATTGCTTACCATCAGGTAATCCGTCTACTTCACCTTGCTATCACATAAAAAAACTTAATCTGCATTATGTAAGCATGGTGATTGACTCTTATTCCTTCTTCGAATAAGAAGAGGATTTGCTTACAGCAGTGGGCTCGTGTAGGCAGGTGGTGTTATGTGACATGATAGGTAAGTGACATTCTCCTCGGTTAAATTGTTGCAAATGTAACTGCCAAATAGAAGAAAGGGGTTTCAATCTAAAATGAAACGACAGAGGTGAAGGCTTAGTATTTTATTTTCCACGTCCTTAGTCATTAAGCCCATGTCATAAGGTTGACAATTAATTATTAAGTTGAGAAGAAAAATAAAAACCTTGCTTGAAACTCTCAGTAGTGGTGGCCATCGTGGTGGCTCGGAGGTTAAGGCATCCGCTGCTCATGCATAAGGGTTGAGTTGGTGTGAATTCAAAACGTGACAAGTACCAATGTAACTTTTTCCGAGTTCTAATGTACTTTCTACGATTATTCAGACTTTACAGACATTCGACTTTCTCCGTACGAGAAAAGACCTTTTCCCAGTGGCCACAAATAAGCTGATTGAGTATTGTGATGTGATGTTCGTTCAATATTAAAATTTCCAAGAACTACTATTATCTAGCGGTAGCTGGGCAACTGGCTACCGCGCAATGTGTCGCAGATTCTATTACCGCCGTTCCCGCACGAAACATCTCTTTTGCGATGCACAAATTGTTGTTATCGGTATGGCGGTGATGTGTATGTTTGTAAAATGAGAAAATCAAGGTGTAGGGTAAGTAAAAATATAAAAAGTTATTCCTGATCACATTGTAAGTACCTACCTACTATAGCCAACTAAGAAAAAGTTTCACAGCTTTCTACAACCACCTTAATCTTTTTTTCATTCTTAATTAACACCACCAACATCAACCGCTCGGTACAGTCTTTGGGACTAACATAGGATATCGCAGTCAAAAGGGGTCAAGTTTACCAAAGAACGCTAGAGTCCGCTTTCAATCAAAGTAGCGGCAAGAGAAACAAATAAATTCCACTCTACCATCAACACACGGCAAACACGAAGACAAATTAATCAAATTAATATTCAAAAACATAATCTCAAGTGTTCAGCATTGTTATTATTATGCAACAGGAAAAATGATAAGAATGGTTCGGTTGAGCTCGGGCGACTCCCGCCACAAGAGGTTTGCTCCCAGAGGCGGAACACGTTCGCGACCCGTTATCAAAACCTCTTCATCAATTGATTCTTCGCCCTCCGCAGCTCAATAGGACGACGATCCGCTTTCCAATAAACTACAAACGTCCCAAATTTAGATTTTTGAACGAAAATGTGTAGCGGTTTTTTCTTTAATTCACTTTAAAAAAAATTTAAGATAATTTGAAAATTTCTTAGAAACAGTTTGAAAATGTTATTTTTGACCTGTTTTTTCAAACCTTGCTCTTTACTTTTATACGTTTATATAGGGTACAGTTTTGTTAAATATTGAAGAAATAAATTGAGAATATATTATAATATTGTTTTGTGCGTTGACAAGGCTGCGTTTACTTACATAAAAAATCACGATAGACAGACCAGACCCGATTTTTGTGAATCACACAAAGGAGATGTTGTTGAGCAGTCGATTGGCCAGCCACTGCGCCATCCATACATTCTTATTGTTTTAAAGATTATACACGATAGATGTAAAGAGAATAGTATAGTATTTAGGATACTACCACCTTATTTGGATTTGTAAGCACCTAATGTATCTGCTGCGCCTAGTAGGAAATCAAGCGACCGGTATCCTGGTGTGGACCAGGATACCGGACTTCACAAAAAACGCGAAACACGCAACGCTGTACCTATATCTATTGTAAGATTACCGAAGGCAATCTCCCCTCGCACTCCTCCCATCCAAAAATACAAATGGTCGGCAACGCACTCATAACTCCTCTGGCGGTACACATGTTCATGGGCGATGCCGACTACTTGCCACGACTAGTTACCATCAACCGCATTCCTGTGTGCCGACATAAAACCATTCTTCGCAGTAGCGACATCTATCCTCGTCGTAGGGAACTATTGCGCGTCTTCCCCATCCCTATTTATACTCCCGCTTTGCACCTATTGTATTTTATATGAAACCCGCGCTCGAGATTAGTTCCACCTTAATACAACAGGTGGCTCTATACGTGTTATAATTTTGCTATCTAGAAATAGGTAGATTATATTATTAGCAGTTTTCAATTTGTACGTGATAAATTGAAAATGGAAATCCCTAAAAATAAAATCGCTTATAAAGATGCAATTCAATTTGCTGACAATAATTGAAATAGACTATCTATTAAAAAGTAATTAAAGCATATCAGATCCTATTCTGTGGAAGCAAGGCTCAAATTGAAGATATCTTTAGTATAATGACCATGCAAGATTATTGGCGCTCAGCATTAAATTGAAATAAGTGGGACATCGCAGTTTTCCTAGCTTAACTATTCAGCTATTTGCCTACGAGTAACTAGAGACAAAGTAGCGCCCCGCGAATCGTGTACAGATTACACTAAAAGCAATACGTATTAGAGTTCAAGGCTATCAGATAAGAGTTCATCGACCTCTGCACATGCCTACAGCGCGTCAAAGGTTGAATCTGACGGAGATATTTCCGTTATCACATAATCACTGGCATCCCGAACATAATCTGTGCCCGGACATATCCAAGGTCGAAACACATAAAACATTTCATATATAATTTCTTCAGCGTTTATTTCTCACGTGCGTTTGCGCATGCCGGCTAATAAAAGAAACGTCACGTGTATACAGCCACGCAGTAACGAATGGTATTTCTGTGCTTACGAACGAGTCTTGTAGTATGCCAAAATCTGCAATCCCGCTACTATTTCCGCAACTCAGTCTATTCAACCCAACTTCGCAAAAAGTAAAACACACTATATTCATCAAAATTACTTTATATTCTTATAAAAGTAGAAAACATGTAAAATATACATATAGATAAGTAAGTAAATACTTACTGAATATTATATAACATAAATCCGATCATAACAAATTCATTTAAATGCCTTTATATCATAAATGTGATTTATAATATGACTATAATAAATAATAAATAGCATTATTCATAATTTCCTGTAGTGCGCAGTAAAAAAATAAACCTTTCAAAAATTGATTACATTACCAACGATTGTTTGTACTAAAAAAATTGTTCATAAATTGCATTTTAGAGAAGACCAATTCTTATTTCAATCACGAAATAAGAATGTAATAAAAAGGAGAATCATCATAATTCATTTAGTGTTTTCGAGACATGGCCTAGGATATCACAATATATTGTGTAGCACCAAAGTGCGTTCAGTCTTAATTAAAATGCAAAAAAATCAGGAAAATTATAGGGATCTGTCGAACACACTCCCTACAAAATTGACTTAAATTTTACCAAAATTAACCCCATGTTTTAACACCTAAATCATCGACAACCTACACCATAAATAAAAACTTCTTAGTTCAACCACTAACTGCAAAAATTACAACTAGAACACATGAATTGCTTGACTTAAAATGTACCTAAATTAAATTACTATACTAGTAATTATCCTAATCCTAATTTCATCTATAAAAATTTTGGCCAACTCTTGACTAATAAACCAATTGTTTCATAAGTATATTAAATTTATAGCATCTCTAATATTTTAAAAAGATATTGCAGCACTTTAAATACGCTTTATTAATTATAATTTAATGAGCACTATGAATTTTATTGTAATATTACTGGAGAAGGAACATTTTACTACTTCTTACCTTGTGATGTTGATAAGTATCAAGTTTTTTTTTAATACAATATCTAAAAGTGCTACAAAACTTTTTCACTATCAATCTCTTCAGTTTTTTCAATTATGGCACTTCTGGCGTTGGTTTAAAATGCAACATGGCGTAGTCGTGGTAGTACATCATGATGGCAAGAGGCTGGCCAAGGATCAAGGAACTCCACACCATGATATTACCCCAACGAGGCCCGAGCCTTTTTTCCGCAGTGCGAGAGATTATCGCTAGCGGTGGTTGTGCCATCATACCTAAGAACGCCCAAATCCTAAACATTTGTAACGGCACGCTCACCTGAAAAAATAATCGTTTTGGTGTAATTAGTAAAATGGGTATTTAAAAGAAGTTAGTATTAGAACATCGGAAGGTGAACTTCGGTTTAGTAGTTAGATTGACCCATTTAAGTAACAGATATTTTAACAGTATTCGTATGGAGGATACATTAATTGGATAGTTTCCTAGGTCAAAAATAAATTAATTCGCCGTTTCAAAACAGAAAAATATTGAAAAAATAAATTACTTTTATTCATCGATCGATCGATACACTAAGTTTTAAATTTTTTTAGCTAATTATTAAGAAATAAGTAAGCTAGGTATTTGACGCAAAAATGTTATGACGTCATAACTCAGTTTTTCGTAGAAAAGTATCGTTACGTTTGGATAAAAGTATTGAATTTGACTAGTTGAAAACTACCATATTATTCGCCAATAAGATAAATCTAAACTAGAAGTAAGTAATGAAATAAACGGGACCCACAATCATTTGCTTGATGAGCAGAACCAATCTCTTCAAAATTGGAAATATTTTTTGTATGTCTCGCGATAATTATTTGATACACATAATCGACAACTACTCACCAAATATTCATGGAACAATGCAGATATGGCGAAGACAACGATTCCAGCGTTGAATTTGCTGAACCCCATTCCAGTTATCGGTTTATACACGTGTCTGACCGCCCACATATGAACTGGCATGTTCCAAGTACTCCAGAAAACTGAGATATTGTTGGCATTCCACCAGTCTCCATAAAACTTGCGATCAGCAAACTGCAGCAGCTCACCCATCAGGTTAAGGAACGAATGGAAGGTGAGGTAGAAGAAACACAGCCAAATAAGATGGTTTGGTACCTGCAAAATTAACAGAGTATTTATTTATTTATTTATTTATTTAAGGGCAACCAACAAAGCATACACTAAAATACATGATAGGTTTTTAACATATTTTAACATTGTATAGTGTAGCCTTAATTAAAGGCTGCCACGACATGCATTTAACAAATAACAGGATATTACAACAAAAAGTTCACTTATCAAAAAAAAAGACATCTTAATAACACTAGTTTTCAAATCACAATTGTTAATTATTAATTCAAAAAACTGTAATTTTTTTTTAATACTATGAAATATATTAAAAAACAATAAAAAAAAAAACAATATTTTATACAGTGAAATATATTGTGGAGCTCAACTCTGTGAGAATGTCCTACGTAAGACAGTTTTCACCTTAAAGAGAGAGTAGGACATGTCAATATCTACATCAAGTGAGGATGACAGGCGACTAAATTGTTCCTGCATTCTATTTATTGTGGAAAAATGGCCCAGGCTTGTTTTAAAGCCCTTACCTGAAAGCAACCGATACCTAGACATTCGAGCCAGTTTGTAGGGCACGTTCACATTAATCTGGCTAAGTAACTGCGGACAGTCAATGTAGTTGTTTATTAATTTGTACAGGAACAGGTGATCTAGGATTTTACGGCGATTATCTAGACTCATTAATTTAAAATACTTCAAACGAGAGCTATAACTAGTTAATTTACTGGTCATGTGACATTGATATGTCAAATGCCAAAGGAATCTTTTTTGAATTGATTCTAAACGGCGTTTATAAACATCGTACAATGGCGTCCAGACTATGCTGCAGTATTCTAATCCTGATCTGACTATTGAGTTGAAAATAGCAATTTTAGTTGAGGCGTGTTTAAAATTTTTACTATTGCGCAAAATGAAACCCAACATTTTAAAACCCTTGGAAGCGATTTTATCAACTATGAAAACGCAGCTTATTATCTATGTAGACGCCCAGATCACGAATCAATGTTTTTTCGTAAACAGTTTTTCCGTTTATATTGTATCTACGGAAATGGGGTCCTACTTTTCTTGAAAAATGCACATGATTGCATTTGTCAGCATTAAGTAACATCTTATTGTCTAGACACCACTGAGAGAAAAGGTTTAGGTCCTCTTGAAGTCTATCTGAATCCTGATCGCACACTCTATTCGTTTAACAATTTTGAGGTCATCCGCGTATAAATAAATTTTTGAATGCACAAAACAAGATACCACGTCCTTCATGAATATGTTGAAAAACAGGGGGCCTAGATGGGATCCTTGGGGTACCCCCGAGGGTGTCAAATAAAGTTTCGACGAGTAACCGCTGACTACCACCCTAGAAGTGCGTTCGACAAGGTAAGACTCACACCACTGCAATAAGTTTCCTTCGATTCCGACTAGGTGTAATTTCTTAACTAACTGTTTGTGATTCACCTTGTCAAACGCCCTGCTAAAATCCGTATAGATAACATCTACAGGAGTTCCACGGTCTACGGCGTCGACTAGATCAGATGTAAAGCACGCAAGATTCGTTCCCGTAGACCGGCCCTTCACGAAACCGTGTTGTTCAGGCATCAATACCTGTTTCACATGCCATGAGAGTGCAGGGTAAACTAAAGCTTCGAACACCTTCCCAAAAATAGACAAGATAGATACAGGTCGGTAGTTATTCGCGGCGGACCTTTCACCAGACTTGAAAATTGGTACAACTCGTGCCTCTTTCCAGGTCTTCGGAAAACAACCTGTGTTCAATGATTTATTATAAATCATAGAGAGAGGCTTTCCCAGAGGGTCACGACATTTTATTGCAAAGATGGAGGGCAGTCCGTCGGGCCCTGGCCCTTTAAAAGGGTCCAGTCTTTTTAGGGCATTAATGACTGAATCCGTCGATAGTATCAAGTTTGCCAAAATATCAGAATTACATGGTACAGTGTCGTAATTAGGTATGTTGTTAACACTATCATTATTACCAGTACCGCCAGACCCTTCATAAACCGATGAAAAGCATGAGGCAAATAGATTGCAATTTTCCGCTCCATTACTACCTTTGACATTACCGTAATGTATTGACGAAGGATATGTACTATTACCGTTACGTTTCTGCTTTAAAAATGACCAAAAGAGCTTAGGGTTAGAAGTGATTGAAGATTCAATTGACTTAATGTATTGCCTATAATTTGTTTGTGTTAATTTAGAAACTCTGTCTTTGAGCACGCGATATGATATGTGATCTAGGGGGTTTTTAAATTTTGAATAAAGTTTATGGTACTTATTTTTTTCTCGAAGCAAGCGAATGAGATCTCTGCTAAACCAAACTGGATATTTACTAGTTGCAGGTTTCGTCTTAGGTACATATTTTTCAATAACGTCATTAATAACTTTGTAAAATGAATCAACCATTGAATCGACATCGCCACATTGTGAAAACAAATCTTGCCATGATATGTCACTCAATTCTTGAATAATTTTATTATAATCTGCTTTGTAGAATTTAAATTTTGGCTCCAGGTTTGGACGTAAAGTTTCTTCGTGCAAATTACACACTAAGTGAAATTCAAGGGGGGGATGATGCGAGTCTATATTACTTAGAGGATTGCCAGACATACCTAAACATTTAATAATATTCATTATTAAAGATTAATTTAAGAGTAATGGTTTAGTTAGGATAAGTTCAGTTAAGACATTATAATTATGTATGTTCTTAAGTCCGTAGCTCAGAATTATCATAGGATAAACCTTATAACCACGTCTGAAAATTTTATCTCTGTTGATAGATTATAATCGGGAACAACATAGGATAGTTTTAGATCGGGTAATACGGGCTAGGCCTCTGGCAGAATCTTGAAAATAAGTCCATCATAAACTAAAACCAAGAATTAAAAATTATATACGCATTACATATGCAGCTTCTAAAAGCAATTGCACGAGCTAAGTACCAAACACAGAACAATGGATTGATTTCTTTTAAATGTTCATCGTTCATCTAACAATATGACCCTGATTTTGGCACCTGTTTGGAATTTGAAGGCCAAAGAAAGTGGCGTGTAGCTAAATCCGATCTATTCATTATACTTGAAAGTAGATATGAGGAAAATATTTTGGCTTGAAAAGATCATGTCGTACAATAGGCACCTTTATTTGATACTGTCTTATGAATTCGGCAATTAAAAGATGCAAAATTTCGTACTCATAGACCCAAAAGTAGTACTTTCCGTGATCAAGATCGTATAAAAGACATCGTGCTACCAATATAGGTAGGTACTTCCAATGTTTAATTAGTGATACGATAAAGATGTCTAGCATTTGAATTAATTTATGAATGAGAGCCAATTGGTACTCCCGGTTTGATGTCCGTAATTATTTTTATTCCTTGTCGACTTGCCAGTTCATTAGCAAGTCTCGTGCACCGTCTACTTGCGTGGGCGACTAGCATTCAGACAATTTGTTCTATTTCAGAATTGCAGTTAGACTCGTTAGTATTATGTTTCTTTCACTTGGTGCGTTTTAATTCCTTCTACTGCCTGGTGTACAGAATATAATACAGTCATATTAAGATTTTTGTTTTTTTTTTAGATTTTGGATTGAGGTTTTTAATTATTTTTGGATCGCAAGATATTAATTGTGTAGTCCTACACATTTAATTTCTTCACATGGCTCTCCTATATATTATTATTTTTTATTTTAAATAGATTGCCAATCATTTGCAGTTATAGGTAACAATGAAACCTATTGTTCAATACTCATTTTAAAGTGGTGATAAAACAATACAAATCAAACAAACTGCTATAACTGCTATAAATAAGTTTTTTTTTCTGCAGGGTACTATGAGGCATGGCACTGGCATGACCAAAAGCTTGATCAAGAACCTCCAATTCTGTTCATGAAGTTTTACAAAATCCATGATCCTATAATTTCACTAGGGCTCTGACACTCCCTCTTGCCCCACCCTGGTCTCGTCGGTTGAAGTTATTTAATAATGTTCCCCTCACAAAAAAAATATCCTATATTTCATACATTTCTTCAGAGTTAGACGTAGAAATCGCCAAGCATCGTATCGCCAAGGCCAAGGCCTGTAGGTAAATATTACAAAATAAACTTACGGCTAATTTCAACAATCGTTCCGTTATTCTTATAGGATCCATCTTGGTGAAAGTCTCCACCGAATTCGTGATGGTGGGTATCATCCATTGTTGGAACAACGCCAGAGCTAGATTTATCCCGAAGAACAGTTCCAATACCCTTTTAATTACAAAACGCTTCCTGATCCTGAAATAGATATTGTTAATTGTGTTAGTGTACTGTTTAAACTACGGTTTTCATCATAACTTTATGAGTACCAATGTACTACTCCATATTTTCTACTTCTTTGCTACGTCATAGGTATTTTCTTTTTGTTGAGACAAGCCCAGTTTTGGGATGTAATGGCACCTCCCAAACCCGCAGTAACTTCTATAAGCCAGGATCTTCAGTAGATACAACCATGAAAACACACTGAAGTCCGACGACTGTCTTGGATCTCGCAACGAAATAAATCAGAAGATATTTGAGGAAAAATCTAAATACTTTCCACTTCCTTCCGTTTAATGTAGGAGACAGAATGACTTAAGCCTTAAAGGCACAAAAGAGACTGCACAACTGGGAGGAGCCCAGTCATCACACCATGGAAAATTTACTATTGTAATGGGGCCTATATGTGAGCCGCGTTGCTGCAAGACATAATAAGTACATATCTATACTAATATTATAAAGAGGTAAAATTTATAAGTTTGTATGTTTGTAAGTTTGTATGTTTGTAAGGTTGTATGTTTGTATGTTTGTATGTTTGTATGTTTGTATGTTTGTATGTTTGTATGTTTGTATGTTTGTAAGTTTGTATGTTTGTAAGTTTGTATGTAGGGGGTAATCTTTGGAACCGCTGGTCGGATTTCCAAAATTCTTTCACTTACAGATAGCTACAATATTCCTGAGTGCTATAGGCTATAAAACATCACACTACGGCTAAATGGAGCCGAGCAGCGGGTGAAACCGCGCGAGAGTAGCTAGTGTTTTATAAGTTGGTTAACCGTTTGGATGTTAACCCATTGTGTCTGCCGGTATATAAGGCACAATAGAAAACACATTGTGTCTAGCGTAAATCATGGGTTAAGGAAATTTTATGGCAATTATAACATTATTGGTACAACTTTTACCCTTTAAATTTCCTGTTAATCTCTACGGACAAAGGTATACAAATAAAATAATGTCGTCATGTCTGCATTATATTTAGTTTAATAAATCCCCATTACGTAGACCGATCATTCAAAATTTTGACGCTAAGTAAACAAAGGCACACGTGCTTTATAAAATTCTCGTGTCTGCATTGATATTTCTTGAGATAATATGATTACGTGACACGTGTTGTCTCACGTTTGTTTTTAAGAAAACGTGAGTTTATTGCCCTCTTTATACACCTGTACTTAAGTAATTCACAATTAGCATTACTAGAAGTGGTTAACACCTTTAGTTTGATAGGGCATTCGTGATAAAAGTAATCAGCGCACTCGTACAAGTATTTAGACGTTCCGGTTGTCATCACAGACCTATGAAATTGTTTTAAAGTACAGCTGTCAAAACGAATCATCTGGTTGGCATGCGCAAATATGCTATTTTTATCTTCAAACTACGCTATGACTACTCGTTTCACTACGCAAATACTGTTTAGACACTCATGCCGTGAAAAAATGTAGTTTGCATTACTGTTTAACATAGCATACCTACCTCAAAGTCATTATTATGATAACGACTTCTCAGTTCAGGTGACACAGTTGACCTTCTACAACTACTTATAGCTAAAAATAAAATAAAAACAAATGCATTCAAAACTAACCGTGCAGTTCTGGGGAAATTCAACTCATAACAAAGGGTGGGGGCCAACATAAAGTAAAACAGGTCTTTTAAGTTCAAATTGTCCGGGTATTTGGTCAGTCTCGCTGCAGCCGGAGTGTCATTGATTAGGTCTTCCTTACTCTCTGTTGGGAAAGGGTCATTAGTTACAGGTTGGTTAATGACGGACAGTTTCAATAGATAAAATATCTGGATAGGCCGTTTGTATTAAAATAAATTGTGTGATATGTGCGCGCTGAGCTCTCGAACGACTGCATCAAATTGGATGGTTTTTATTTAATCAAGACTAGTCAAGCAACAAGTTAAAAAGAAAAATATACTGAATTAATTGTCAAAATTTGAATATCTATAGAGAGATATACTCATATTGTATAGTGGTAGAATAAGATTGGATAATCTCTGGTACCGCTGGTCGGATTGCCAAGATTCTTTCACTGATAGATAGCTACAATGTTCCTGAGTGCTATAGGCTATAAAACATCATTACGATCAAATGGAGCAACGGGTGAAACTGCGCGAGAGTAGCTAGTAATTAATACGTGTTATATTTATTGCATTTTAACATCACTGGTGATGAAATTAAATAATAATATGGATGATTATTTGAATAATAAAATTGGTTACTCATAGGGACCTATTTAATTTATTTCTTCAGGAAACATCACTACATCTTGCTTGCCTTGTCTGAGGTCAAATAATTACCATTGGACATTGGTCATCACTGGTGATGAAATTAAATAAATTTAATGTAACTACTTCAGCCAACTTGTTCATATTTATGACTCTCAAATCTTTGCAATTTATCTTAATCCTGATAGTTTCCAGACTTCCCTTGACTGATTATGCAGTTGAATAATTGATATCGTAATCGCAAATCCATATCGTATTGTATCACAACGAAGCACATTCAGTAACATAATAAAATAATTCTTCGATTAGGTTCTTTTTTAGCAATTGAATACAGTATAATGACTACACTAGACTACTTAATGATAGTTTACTAGTTTCAATAAGTAAAAAACCTAAATTTTAATAGTGATAATACACAATCAGTTAGATTGATTAGTTCGAACAAAATAAAGTAGTTCGTTATTACAGGGGCCGATCCAGATAGTTTGTATTTTATATTGAAATAGTCCGTCAGTAGTTATCAAGTATTGACTTAAAGTGCGATTAGTGTTTATTACGCAAACCTTTCACGCAACTTCAGATTAGCAGATAAAATAATAAATACAGATAGTAAAAGGATGCGATAACAGGCGTAGAAATGTTTCTAAGAGCCGAAAACATTTTTACGTAACGTATGATAAAAGAATTAAGTGCAATAATCGATATTAGAATTACATTTTCTATAATAAATGCTAAATAGAAGGCAAGCAATGGTCTAACGACTTTTAAATAATACTGCAACCAAAGCGGTTCTATTCTACATAACTACAATGAAGCTATAAAGTGTAAACTCTTCAAATAAACATAAACACACACATTTAGAAGAAAAAAAAACGGCACTCAAAGCAGGAAAGAAACAGCATTTTTATAAGGAAGTGGGCACACACAAATCCATATCAAACTTACGCTCTTGCTCGGCCGAAACAAGTTTATCTGTAATCATTCAATAACCTTTAAACTCTGTGTCCTCAAATCTAAGTCAATTTTGATGGTGTCATCATCTTTAAGGCCGGTATACACTTATCAGTAATAAAATTAAAACTTTCTAAACTGTTTGTCATCGTAGGCAGTCACGTAATGAAAATGATTTCAATAAATTACAGACAAAAAATGAAGCTTTTGTAGTCTACTCTCCAAAAACACGTGTCCTTATCCTTTTTGAATTTAAGAAGTTACAAATGTAAAGTTTAATAGTAATACCAGTCTTTTCCTATTTAAAAATAAAAACTTGTCCAAATTAAGAATCACTTACTCCAATTAGGTGCTGACAAACTCTGTCTTCGAAGTTTACTATCCGAATACTTCTTCTTCAACCCAAGGCGACACCAATAATTCGTTTGAGTGTAACTCCACAGTTTTAAAAATATTACCAAGTAGAGCATACAGACTGATGTTATACCAACTGAAAAAAAAGGAAATCATGATTACCAAACCTTTATTGTTATATTTTTATGGGTGTTTATATATGTAATATTTACCGAAACTGAAATCATTGCCCCTGTAATGTAGGACTGCGATAGGCAGTAATACCATGAGAAGCAAGTGAGTAACCTGCAATATGACGCCGAATTTGTTTGGTATTAAATCCTAAAACAAAAACATTCATAAGGATGGTTGATGATATGATACATGATAGTTTTCATATAAAACATATATTTGTACGAAGTACTTACAACAGCTATTCCTTTTTCGATTAGTAGACTTAGAACAATGGGCACAATGCTAACTGAAAAAAAAACTGAATAAAATGAAAAAAGGCGTAAATATAACTGTAATTGTATTTAACTTAAAGTTATTAATATACAATTACAGTTATATTTATTTTGCAAAAAAAGCTAAATGAAAAGATCAAACATCATAAGTAAGTACTTATTTTGTTTCTATGACCTTTCAAAAGGATCCCATAAAAGATAGGAAATAAATATTATACTTACAAACTATCAGTATAACTGAAGGGTATTGGCTTTGATCCCCTTCATTGTACCCTGTTAATACTACAATCCATTCAAGTGGGTTAACACGAAATCCATATCTGTAATCCAAGATGGTAGCATTAGTTGAATAAACCCGTGTGCTTATTTCTGAGTAAACACACTCGAGATATGAGCGAAAATTTTAATGTGAAGTTTTGTAAATGATTAGTCAGATGTTTACATTTCAAGAGTATTACTGACCAAGTCCCACAAAGTGACATACAATCCAGACATGGATTCATTCTGAAATTTGCACAGATTAGGAAAGAGACACCTTTGTTGTAATGACAAAACCAATATGACAATCAAAACAAATCATTCTGACTAGACAAGACTAACAGAATGAGTCAAGCAACCATGACTAAGGAAAAAGAATAACTTTTTACCAAACATTTACCTCATGTACCATATGTTCAATCTTTCAAAAGGTCAACTACATCTATCATCCATACTAATATTAAAAAAGGTAAACTTTGTAAGTTTGTATGTAGGGGGTAATCTTTGAAACCGCAGGTCGGATTGCCAAAATTCTTTTACTGATAGATAGCTACAATGTTCCTGAGTGAACACGACTATAAAACATCACGCTAGGATTAAAAAGAGCCGAGCATGTGAAACCGCACGTAAGTAGTTAATTAAGTATAAAACAATATGGATGATTATTTGAATAACAAAATTGGTTACTCAATCAGTTTAATGAAGAATATATAAGAATAGGTCCCTATTTTAATTTATTTCTTCAGGAAACTTCACAACATCTTGCTTGCCTTGTGTAAGGTCAAATAATTACCATTGGACATTGGTCAATGCCAGTAAACAAAGTATGAGTATGATGTCATGATACAAAGTGCATAATTCACTGCTAAATTAGTTAAGCACTATGTATATTTATTAATTTAGGGTCTATTTGGCAATTGGCATTAAACACAAGTTATTTATTCTATCCTCTATGTAAGATTATAACAATAAACTGGCTGTCTCTATGTAATTATTGCTAAGCTATAAAAGTTTTTTTTTTGTGATTGCTATATATTCAACCTTGAAGCCAAACATAATCACTTGTAGTTGCAAGTAGCGTAATTGTAATAATTAGCATAATTTACATACCTGATTTGTCATTCTGAACAACAGAAAAAAAAATCTGGTTAAAATATTAGTTAAAAGATTTGGAAAATTATAATTTACATTAATGTTTATTTTATTTTTTATAGGTATTTTAAAAAGGAATTACGGCCAGAATGATCATTATTTAAATTTAAGTTTATTCAATGTTTGTATTGTATTTAGTAAAACTCATATAATTTATAAACATCATCATAACTGAATCATATGAAGTTATTATTGAAGTGTGATATAATGATTAGTTTATTACAAGATACTTACTTTAAAAAATTTTCAAGGCCTAATCTGACTCCTCCCACTGAGAGCATCAGGAAGCCCCAGTTGACGAGACCAGTGAAATCATTGAATTCCGAGCTCCATGAGAATAGGGAATCTCTTGGAGTGTGAATGCTAGAACACCACAATATTATTAATAAACACATATAAAAAAAAAATTTAAAATTTATTGATCTATTTCATTTCAACCAAATATCTTATTTTTTTTAATTTATTCATAAAGTTAAATCAATGTATATGATAGTTACCTATACATTTATTAGAAATTTAATCACAAATTACTACAAATAACATTAAAAGTAAGCACTATCAAACTTAACACTTATCATGCTCATTTCTTCCTTTGTTAGTGTACATTGTATATTATAAACTCATATAATATTGGACATACAATAATGGATTCTCTAAAACAAAAAAGTATGAAAACATAACTTACGGCTTATCAAGCTGCAACTTACGAACTTTCTTTTCTTGTTCAGTTATTTCTTCTGCCTTTGAAACACTTTGAGCTCTCCTGTATCGGAGAGCTTTTTCTTCGGTCTCAGTAGTCATTTTGCTCTAAATCTGTCTTGCTATCTGTGTGATGATAAAAATGAAAGGTATAAAAATTGAGGGTAGGAATAAAATTGATGAAAATTAAAGAAATGTATCCAATTAGACAACAAGTTAAGATTTTACAAATATCTAAAACGTTTACTCTCAAAGAGGATTATCAAATACCTGGGTAAATCGGTAAGCTAGTATGTTGATGTAACTTGTTATCACTTGCGGTGTACAATTACTACACAAAAACTAACAGTTTAAAAAGACATACGTACTTAACTACTGGACGAAAAATAACATGTATACACAAATAATCCTGCGGGGGTCGTACAAATGTTTACTTCACTGTTAAACTATACTTTTATTTCACTAAAATTAAAATATTGCACTGCCCAAACACTCCAATTTGACCAAATTGAACAATCTGTCAAATTCGAAATCAAGATTGTCAATAATAAAACGTCAATCAGTCAACCTTCAAATGAACTTAAAGTTTCACCTAGAACTTAAAATTTCCCGCCACAATTTAAGAACATTTTGCAGATGTTACATTAAAAAACTGTAATACAATCATAACCTCAGTTTTAGTGAAATATATCTATAATTTTATTTTAAAGACAATCGTCACCAACACTAAATCGACTTTTATAAAAATGGAAATAAATACCTAACAAAGTTCCTATTTCCGCGTTCTATATAGTTATTTTTTTTGAATTACTATATAGTTAGAAATCTTTATGTTACCATAATAAAAAAAAAACAACTTATTGGTAGATTATTTGAAGTACAATACGTTGACGCCGTCTCCTCTTTCTGTGAAGCAGTTATGCTCGCAAAGAGGGAGGCGGCCCACGTGAGGGAGCAATCCTCCTCCTCACGCCCCAGCCGCCGCAATAGGCGACATTCCGGGCGTCGCGGATCGAGAGATGATCTCCGGCCACCGTAAGCGCGGTTCTGCGGTCGGCGAGTAAGGCAGCTCGCCGCCCGACCAGAACCAGGCCCGAGCGTACGGCGCGTAGCGTTCCGCGCGAGCCACAAAGAGCCAATAGACCACCACAGACGGGGCCCTATAGGGCTGATGTTCATTATTTGATGATTTTCCCCTCACAAAAAAAAGTACCAATAATAATAATATGGAACAACTATGTACTAAACCTATGTAACACAATTATAAAACACTTATGGTTGCAGTTTTAAGACCATAAAATAATTTTATTTTTAAATTTACAAATCTACAATAACATTCTTGCTTGAAATAGTAGCTTTTTTTACTTCAAAATTTTAATTTGGTAGATTCACTGATAAGCAATTGGTCACTTCAAACCTCAACACGGAGGATAAAGGTCGTCTGTGTGTAAATGTGACTACTATGTAACTGAAGTTCAAGGAAAAAACCTGGATTCTTATGAGATAATTTTGGTATTATCTCTAAATTGTTGATTAATTTCGAAGAAATTTAAACACTAAAATGAAGATTTGGACTTCAGAACACACTTTCAAGTAAGCCGTGACGATTGATATTATGACGCAACCTTGAATTTGTGAGGCTAGAACTCACAATATTATCTATCATTTCAATCAATCCTTATATCTATGTTCGTAAATTACAGCCATCCGTGGGAGACGGTTGCTCAAGCCGCATGGAGAAAATACCCCAATCCTATGAACCCCGCAGTTATCGGAACAGATGTAATCGAAAGGAAGGTTGTGGATGGGGTTTTAGTCACACACAGACTCGTCAGTTCGAAATGGTTTTTCCCCAAATGGGCTCAAGCAGTAAGTTTCGTAACATTGCAACTTAATTATATTACCTACTTGAAAATATTGTCGATTACCAAAGAGTTTTGCAAGTGTTGAAAAATACATAATCTATATAATAATTTATTTTTAGCTCATTGGAACTGCTAAAATTTGCTACGCTAGTGAAAAATCTGAAGTAAATCCAAATGAACGACAGATGACCTTAAAAACTACAAACCTTACATTCTGCCGGTACATTGCTGTGGATGAGACTGTACGGTACACACCACATCCATCTGATACTTCTAAAACCTTGCTAACCCAAGAGGCTGTAGTCACAGTACAAGTAAGTCATCTTAACAATTTATATCATGTTAAAATTGCATTTTCTTTCTTGATAAACAATAATGGAAGAACATAAACAAAGCTTCTAATCATATTATAGACAGGTCCATTTATAATCTTGAATTTACAAAATAACTATCCTTGTTGTGACTTCAAGGAATTGTATTTAATTTTTAAATTTAAATCAATTTGTGGGTAGATTCAATATTTAAATATTTCACATTTGGTTTATTGTTTAGGTAGGAAGCAGTATTAACAATTAATATCTTTTTTAGGGAGTACCACTTAGCAGCTACATGGAAGATCTCTTAACTAACAAAATATCTTTGAATGCTGGTAAAGGTCGCCAAGCTATAGAGTGGGTCATTGGAAAAATAGACTCAGAAATAAAGGAACTAGCAAGTACAGCCTGTAAAAGCACAGATGAACTATTATCACACACAAAGAAATCTCTTGATGACATTACTTCCACTGCAAGGAGATCAATGGATGATATATCATCCAAGGCCAAGAGGTCACTAGATGATATAGAAAAATTCACTAAGGCCAATGCCAATCAAAGGAGCTGAAAAGAGGAGTGATCGTATTGTTGTGCCACGCAACTCATGACCTGCACTAAATGTCTAATTATAACTAGTTAATCATCTACTGTTATAATACTGTAATTTATTTATTTTATAATAGCAAAATGTGCTTTTAGCATGCTAAATAAGGTGAATTCAGATAAGGGCACAGTTATCTAAGTTGGTTTTGCATGGTATATCAACTGATTGTGTTATCAGCCATATTGATGATTGATGACATATCAGTAAAATAGTAATGTGCAAAACTTTCTTCAAATATGTAACATAGTTCCTGCATTGAATATTTTATTATAGTTGATCTTGTTTTTGAAAATAATATAAATTACCTCATATGACAAATTTATTGTCATTCCTCAAAGAGTAAATGTGTTGTTGTGTAGTAAACTTAATGAGTTGAGGAAAAGTAATTGTAGATAAAATGATTTTAATAAGTATTGTAGAATTACAAAACTAAATGTGTATACATGTAGCTTAATTGGATGTTTAATGATAGTAAAATTTCTTTCATGTTTTATATTAATTAATGTAATAATATATATTCTTAAATTTAAAATGACAACACTTTGTGATAAAAGGTAATTTATGCAACACAAAACAAGTTGGCAAGGATATTTTACTTTCAATTCCAAGTCAATGCCAAGAATTGCTAATGCAGACAAGACTGATACACTTCATAAGAATAATGTACCCATCTATGCTTGATGCAGATACCAACATATAAATCCAAATCTGTCTCCAAGATCATGTGCAATTGTGATGAATGTAATGTATTGTCCACATCCACTCATAAAGACAGGTGCAGTCAGGTCAATAGTATGATCATTCTTGTGACTAAACATTGTATATTTGCAAAACTCAGCAATGTACTACCATTCCCTGTTGGTTGTCCTTGAGTTATGGCAAATGCATTCCAAGTTAATGTTGTTTTGTGTTAGAGTTGATACCAGCCCATACTGGTGACCAAAAGGAAGAATAGGTTAATTGTTGTGTTTTAAGAAGATTCTTCCTGTCCACATTTTTATATGACTTTTCACTTTTGAGTGGCACGAAAGTGGCAGTTTTTACCAAAGGATTATAATATTTAAATGCATAATATAAAAACGAAATTCCAATTATTTATCTAAAGTTACATAGTCGCCTCATACCAGATGTGATCTCATGAGCACTTGGTATTGATCTAAAATTATTTTCAGCATCAGTGTATATTAAATTTCATATAATTTGCAATAAATTTTTGATGAAGTATCATCATACTGTTTTTACTACCCACTTCTACTTTACCCTACCTACAGAGACACATTATGTATGTAATACTTATTACCTACCTTTCTTTTGAGGGGATAAAATCAACTTTATCTCCGGGTGGCGCGAGCGGAAATAACTGACTTACTGACTAACAACAAAAAAACCACCCCATTCAGGCCTTTTATTCGTAGGAGGGAAAGAATCATCAAATGACTTCTCTTGCTTCTCTCGTTCAGTCTTCAAACTTTGTTAAAAGAACACTGCGAGTTGGTCTCGCAAACAAAAGGGATTCCTTTTTAGATTTCCTAGCACTTGAGCATTTTTGTGTACCAACAGGTTACCAGAAAGTTACATCAGTTCTTGATTTTCTTTAAAATTGTCTCGTACGTCAAATATTATGGATTTAAACAAGTACAAAGATATTTCCTCATCACGATTCGGTGCACAGGTAGGTATCTATAAGGAAGGAAACAATGCTCGTGTATGTATGTCACTTTATTGTAACAAAGCTACTACTGTTGAATGGTTTTAAATAGTCCAACTGCATTGACCTTTTTATCATTAACACGTGACCAATAAATATTTGTATACAAATACAACTCTTGCATGTGACTATACGATTAATAAGATAAAGTATAGGTAGCTAGGTATAAATGTATAATGAATGCTCTATCTACCTACGTAGGTACATGACGCAGTTGTTGTATGCTACTTTCAAAGTTTAAATAATGCAGGGGAATATAATGTAAGGTACTACCTAGTTGTACGAGCGGATAGTAATCTCGAGACAGTGACAAAACATGGGAGTCCTAAGTAATTGGTGCATTGTATTGTAACTAGAGCCAGCACCTACCTCTTTAACTGAATCTACATTTTAAAATAACACAAGCATCAGGTTTTAGCGAGAACTACCCGGAGGATACGGTGGCAGTATGGCCCTGCTTGGGCTGAGCAGCGCCGCGTATTCCAGCGTCCGGCCTAGGTCGAGGCCATGGTGCGGAGCGAAACTTGGAAGCCTTAAAAACCTTCTGGGAAATGGTGACAGCAAAAAAGGAGACAAAAGGCGAGAAAGAACTTCCTTCTCATGCCCCAGGAAATACTCCGAGCGTCGGGGATCAAGCAAAGATCTCCGGCCACCATAGGTCTGTTAACAACGATCGAAGGTAGCTCACCGCCCGATCAGGAACTAGACACAAGCGTAAGGCGCGTAGTGTCCCGCGCACGCCACACATAGCCATTACACTTCACTATACCTTGAAAACTTGGAACAGAATTTAAAAACACCCATTTCCACATCATATTAATTGCTAATCGCAATGTAAATAAATAAATTAGTTTTATAATTGTTTATGATATTTATTATTTCTATGTGTATGTGATCTATATCCAAAAAGTACAAATTAAGTTATACATACATAAGAAAAAGCCCTTTTCTTATCTAACATTATTGAGCCAATTCAAGATGATAAGTTCTTCTAAAGTTACTAAATTACACTTATGAGTTTTAAATGGTACATTATTTATTACCACTAATTATTACACAATTTTATAAATATTAAATTACAAAGTGTTTGTTTACAATTATTTATTAATATTAATTTACTACAGAATATATTTACCTATTTAAGATTATTACTGCAGTTAATTTTATGTAAATGTTATATATATTCTCTATCATTGCATATCATGAAACATATAACTAAAACAAAGAAGAGTCATATAACAGAGGCGGATCCCCTATAGTGGGCCCAATGCCTATAAAGTAGACTTGTGAAATGACACTTTCAGGGTATTAAACTCTATATCATAGTGAGGAATTGGTCTATTGGGTCTACAGCAGTTGAGTACACCATGGTAACAATAACATTTCACTGATTCAGCTATATCTCAAGATGTTTTATGGACGCCTACACCTCTAAATGGTAACCACTACTTACTAGGGCTACACATGGAAGGAACCTATTCCAGCCTAGATTTGTATCTAGGCTGGAATAGGTTGTAATAACATTAGCAGGGTCCGACTGATATATGGCCAGAATACATTTACAAACACTTAATATGTGGATAACAAGAATGCAGCTGAATGCATTAGTGTCTTGCACTAGTAAAGCACTAAAGTTAGTATCAAGTACTGGTGCCCGAAGATGTCATGTTGCCATTCTGAACATTTCCTGACACAGATCTTGTAGCAGACAGATGAGAAGCCTTCAAACGGTCCAGCTCATTCACCCAAGAGCGGACATGCTCTAATCGATGCCATGCCATCTGCAATACTTTCTGTGATGCATAACCAGATCCTTCGTGAGGTTGCCCAGTAGAAACTTGAGTCAAATAATTTATCTGATCACTTAGTTTCGACTCCACTTGGCTCAAGGTTCTCAGAAATTGTGAAGTGTTTGTTTCTGCTTGTTTCTGACCAGACTTTTCTTTGCTCAGCTCAAGAAGGGCTTGAGCTGAAATAAAGATCACATTGTCATTTTACACCAAAAATTAACTAGAATATAAATGTGTGCAGAGCATTTGAACCTTATCTTCTAACTTTGGGATCAAATTTCCATAAGCAAGCAATAATAATATTACATTTTAAATAATATCTTACCTGCACATTGGAGACATGTAATTATATCTTTTTCAATATCATCAAGTATTTGAATCCTTTCCATAGGAGCAGTCATTTTTACTACCAGACTCCACAAATAACTTTTACAAACTTTAGAATTAAGACCTCAAAAAGGATAGTAAGAAATACCACGGAGAGTAATGCTGACGGTGCTCAAGTGTTTGCTAAAGGCAAAAACCAAAAAAAAATGTTTATTGTACTTTTTGAAAAAAACTCAGCTAATAAAACACAAGCTACGCCTGACTGTCACCGTGACAGTGACAAATGGCAATTAGAGGTCTACCATTTTTTTTTTTGGAGTTTATGGCCTGGATACGAGTTCTTTAAGCCAAGAGGTCTACCATGTCCACGCCCCCCACAGACTACTTTGAATCAAAGAGTAAAGTAATAAAGGAGTTGAATATACGCACAGATTACTTTAAATTAGTCGATTGTAAGTACCCACGTTATGGAATTGAGGCTGGTGTCCGATAGTTAGCTGGTGGCGAAAAAAAGAGTATACTTTAAAGGCGATAGAATTAAATTACTAGTTTAAACTCACGCTTATTGTAACAAAAAAGCCCTCCACATATTATGGTAGATAAAAAACAAAATATAATAAAATGAAACTTCAATAATTAATTTTATTTATTGAAATAATTTGCATATTGCTCTAATAGGATTTTGTATATCGAAGACTCGATGTCGGACACCGTTCGTTGTTGGAAACAACAATGTTGCCAACGGGTCGTGACGTGAAGCTATAAAATCTATAACAAAAGCAACGCTTATCGTGTGCCTATAGTAACACCCTATCGTCACCAAATGGCCAACTTTCAACACCGCTTTCTAGCATTTGAGAGTTGAGGTCAAAGAGTATAATAATATATAAGTAAGCTATATATGGTTGAGGTCTTGTCTGGTTTGGATTTGGTTATGATAGAATCAGATAATCGATATTATTGCCAGTTAAGTATAAACTCAATTGAATTAATTTACACAATCGAAAGTAGATATTAAAACAAGAACTCGCTTTAGACTTGAACATAGTTCAAACACAAAGTTTAGAATGATAAAATAATTATGTTGTAAACGTAACAACAAGGTATGTTTTCACATTTGTTACCAGTTAGTTGTTTTATATAAGAATTATTAAGAACAATTTGGGGAATATTAATAGTTTCAGTTTTTTTAATAAACCCTGATTCTTAAGTCCTATTTGTGATGCTTGTAAACAGTTGTTCAAAATTACTTTTATTCCTAAATGGCGGACTAAGCACGTCGTGCTTAGTAACTATACACGGCTTCTCTTAATTCAGCAAAAGAGCAAACAAAACTATCTTTACAATCTGATTGTGCGACTGGCGATCATGGTATCTCAGCCAAACTTTTAAAGCAATGTAGGTACATCATCCATTGTTACATATAATAAACCTGATTATATAGACTTAGTCAAGTTTTTTCACATTTGTTAAAGCGTGCCCTTGTACATCCTATCTTTACCGAGGTCTTGGAGAGAATCACAAACAAACGTATCAATAAATAGGTATCATCTTTACGAAAAAAATATTTGGTCAAAAAATAAAAATCAATATGGAATTAAAAAAATACTACTACTAATTATAGTGTATCATGTATCTTATTACATAACAACATTATATTTACGCGGGTATTAACGCGGAAAATTATAATTTGAATACCTTGGTAGGCTTGACGTTTCGACCCGGTTGCACAGGTCGTGGTTACAAAGTCATTCAAATTATAATTTTCCCCGTTAATACCCGCGTAAATATAATCTTATTACATAGTTATGTAGTTAAAGCGTTTGACACGGTTTTCATCCCCAAACAGGCCCAAACTACTACAAAATTGGAACAGATTGGTGTCAGGGACATAAAATAACTGTTACCTATTCAAAAGTTGTTTTTAGGTAATTGAACAGTATGCGAAAATTGGAAAACATGTGATTGTTGAGAATACCATAGAAGCGTATCCAGAAGTGTGACACAGTAAGCGTCATATGTAACACAGACTTTGTGCCGTGCCCGGAATCGAATCCACTACCCGCGCCACTGGTGAACGTATCGTGCGCCTCAACATCGTCACACGCGCCGCCGCCGGCGATGGAAGTAAACGTGCGTGGTATCCGGCAGATGGGGCGTTGGACTCGCCGCAGCGCAACCATCAACAGCGATGCGTCAACGCTAACCAGTAGGCTGAGCGACGTGTGGCGCGACGTCGCCGCGTCCGCGCACGCTGCTCATGAGGAAGAACCCCTCTGTGGTTCGAAACTAGTAGAGCTTTTCTCAATATTTACACGTGAGTAAACCGCGGTTTTTAGTTAATTTAATACCATAGGGGTGAAAACTTGGCCCGACGCTCTTTTATTGTATGTATAACAAACGGCAAATTTCTGAATTGTCTTGGAAGGTGAATAAAGAGGAGATTTGATGAGAAATTTCATTGGTTACTTGCTATTATTTCATTGCAATTTAATGTATTCGTAAAAAAATAAATAACTCCAAGTGTCATGTTAAATAAAAAACTCTAAAACTGTTCGCAAGTACACGGTAAATATACATGACTGGCACTATCCTAAGTTACAAACCTTAAACTTATATAATAATTGGCAGTGATCTTTGAGGAAAAATATGCTGTTATGACGCTTATTAAAAAACTAATAAGTATAAGTATATCTTTTAAAAGACTTCGACATGTTCTGCCTTGATGGTTATTGTATATCAAATCAAACTGAGGTTGTTAAAAGTTAATCAGCTGGAAATAACACAGGGAGTGTACTGTACTTTTGATATCTACTCAGAAAAACATAGGCACAGTAAGTAAAGGTACATATAATTTTACTGTATCTGACACGATTTCTGCACTTCCACCACAAAAATGTATTCACGGGGGAAATCCCTAAGAATTGTTTTGTTTGTGGCTTTTGCTTTTGCAGGCTGACTTTGCACCAAAGCTTGACACTTTAATACCAAAGCTAATTATCGATTTAGGTACCAATCACAATTCAACGAATGTCCAGGGGCAAAGGTATTATAAAATAAAATATGTGATTTTAATGGCATTATGTGCATGGTAACATTCTGACTATTGATAGCTCGTATGATTTGCTTAAAAGACTTGTATCCAGGCCATAAACACCAAAAAAAATAGCTCGTATGACAGGCTGACCGCTGACAGCTTGCTTACCTCACCGAAAAAGTCGTTCACAATCGGCCATTTTTGTCGCGACTGTCTACGAACATGGTAGGTGTTCACCGTAAATCTGTGCTTTTCCCTTCAATCATATAATTTTAATATGTTGTGCCTATTTGTTTGCATCAAGTCAAGTGTTTTATGATGTTTTTAAATAATATTGTTCTAATCTCATTTCTATTTAATGCGAATTTGGTGATTACTAGTAGTCGTGTATGCTTGCAAATGATGATCTCCTATCTTTATATTATACGGTTAGAACCTGAGTTCTATGTGAAGATTTTACTAGGGCGGACTGATGTTATTTCTGTCTGCTCTCCTTATGATTTTCTCAACGTGCAGTGTTAGTAACATATGACATCTGGTTTCAGTCGCATAGAAAGTTTTCGGCGCCCCGTCATGGGTCCATGGGATTCTACCCCAAGAAGAGGTCCCGCCGTCATCGTGGTAAAGTGAAGGCATTCCCTAAAGATGATGCTAGCAAGCCAGTCCACCTTACCGCCTTCATCGGCTACAAAGCCGGTATGACCCACGTGGTTCGTGAACCCGACCGTCCTGGATCAAGTGAGTTGTCTATTATATTTATTATTGAGTAGGTTAATTTGGATTGTCGTGGCGAAATGCGTAATTTAACCCAATCACTTTTCCCAGAGATCAACAAGAAGGAGATCGTAGAGGCTGTAACCATCATCGAGACGCCACCAATGGTGTGCGTTGGTGTGGTTGGTTACATCGAAACTCCTCACGGTCTCCGCGCTCTGCTCACTGTTTGGGCCGAGCACATGTCCGAGGACTGCCGTCGTCGCTTCTACAAGAACTGGTAAATATTGGTGTTTGTTTAAATGTTCAGAATTTATTACATTCATTTTATTCATTTTTATACTTTAATTTAATGTTTCTAATCAAAACCTATAGCTCTCCTCTTGGCAATGAGAGTTCCATGTCAGATATGCCCAGTGCATATTGCTACCAATTGGTCTCCGCTCAACGATGAGGCCTTTTGGTTTTTCCTTACAGCAAGCATTTTATGATTCACTAGGTACAAATGCAAGAAGAAGGCATTCACTAAGGCCAGTAAGAAATGGCAAGATGAGCTTGGACGCAAGTCCATTGAGAAGGACTTCAAGAAAATGATCCGCTACTGCAGTGTAGTCAGGGTTATTGCTCACACTCAGATGAAGCTGTTGAAACAGCGTCAAAAGAAAGCTCACATCATGGAGATCCAAGTCAATGGTGGAACCATTGAAGACAAAGTCAAATGGGCTAGGGAACATCTAGAAAAGCCCATTCCTATTGACTCTGTGTTTGCTCAGGATGAGATGATTGACTGCATTGGTGTCACCAAGGGTAAAGGATACAAAGGTATGGATATTTTTCACTGTGACATTTGTTTTCCTTTTTCATGTCTGCTGTCTGTATAATTTGATACTTATATTTTTATTATACCATAGGTGTCACCTCACGTTGGCACACAAAGAAGTTGCCTCGCAAGACTCACAAGGGTCTGCGTAAGGTTGCTTGTATTGGAGCATGGCATCCTTCAAGAGTGTCATTCACTGTTGCCCGTGCTGGTCAGAAGGGCTACCACCACCGAACAGAAATGAACAAGAAGATCTACCGTATTGGACAAGGTATGTTTCATTCATCAAACGCCAAGCAAATGCTGATCTCGAATTACCACAGTTGAAAGGTTAAGGGACAAAGATTTATGGAAAGACAAGTTATTGCATACTGGTATACTTGCATAAACTGATTTTCAACTTTTTTCTTTGAAGGAATCCACACCAAGGATGGCAAAGTCATCAAGAACAATGCTTCTACTGAATATGACTTGTCTGAGAAGTCAATCACTCCCATGGGTGGTTTCCCCCACTATGGAGAAGTCAACAATGACTTCATCATGATCAAAGGTTGCTGTATGGGACCCAAGAAGCGTGTTATCACTTTGAGGAAGGTGCGTATCTTAAATTTTGCAGTAAAACCTATTGTTAAAATTAAAATGGTGTTCAAATTAATTTTTGGGTTAATTTTAATGATATTTTTGTTTGTATTTTCAGTCCCTGCGTACCCACACAAAGAGAGCAGCCCTTGAGAAGATCAACCTCAAGTTCATCGACACATCGTCCAAGTTCGGTCACGGTCGCTTCCAGACGCCGGCTGACAAGGCTGCCTTCATGGGAACCCTCAAAAAGGATCGCATTCGTGAAGAAGCTGCGGCCACCACAGCACCCGCGGCTCCCGCCCAGTCTTAAACAAATGTTTGGACTAATAAAATAAGACAAACTTATTACGTGTATTATTTGACATCTCGCTTCACATCCTCTTTAGTCTAGTTTTTTTTTTTTGAGGGTGAAAAATCACCGCACCTTCGTGCCAGGATGCGCCTAAGCCTGGTGTGATTTATACAGGTGGTGATGATGACCTGTCTGGGGCTCAACTCGTTCTAATATTTTAAAAATCCTCTCTTATGGAGATTGAAACTAACTTCGGGTGTGGGGCGTAAAAAAATAACGTAGAAATGATAATTTTATCGACACCCAGAGTTCGGATGTTTGATAACGCTGAACGTACAGCGGAAAGGCTTATCTAAGAGGAGTACTCTGTACCTACCTACTTGTTTGATATCTTGTCATATACCTCAACAGGTAGGTAGTACCTTTGTTGAGGTGTGCATCTAGATCAAAATCAATATGTCAACTTAACAAATGTACTACCGGTAGGTAGGTAAGTACCTAGGCCGCCGAGAGCACCTATTGTTACCCGACTACGGCAAAGCAAAAAAAGGAGGGTTATGATTTTGACAGGCTATGTACGTATGTATGTTTCGTCCTAACTTCTTAACTACCTACCTACCTACTTATCAGAATATGGCATACCTATTTATTAGAAACGTCTTATTTGACCGCTGGTTATCCGACCGATCCGTTAATACCAAAATCGAATGTGGCGTCCTCTAGCGGACAAAACAATCAGTAAAAAACTAAAGTTAAGATAATTATACCGTGTTTGGTATCATTTCAAAGCGCTTTACTTGTACATTTTGAACTTGTATATAGGTATTACTAGCATTTGCTGGTGAATTTGTCTGTATTCATGGGCTAATAGCATATACTTAATTCACATATTTTCGTTCATAGCTTCTACTACTTAATATTAGTTTATCAATTTAACTTGTGATGATTTATGCGCCTCAAATACACTTTAACACCAAAATAACACAAATAATAAAAAGTATAAAAACTAAAGGCGTAGTCACACGTTACATTTACTTACCATACCCGTACTTTGATAACGTGCGACTACGCCTTTCTGTATAAGTTTATCTTCCTACTGCCGTGTAAAAATGGTTAAGCATAGGTAGGTAATTATAAGTATCTGTTTTGTCTGCTATGGACTCTTCTACCTTTGGTTTAACCTACCCTACGACTTGAACGTAACCAAAAAGTGAAAATTATTACAAGGTCATATCATTATTAAGAGGCGCCTATTTTAGGCGATTCTCACACTGCCCCGCATGGTGCAGCGTAGCGCGTGGATGCGTGTTCTTTCGTTGCTTGTAATTATCTCCATTTGTATGGAAAACACGCACAGTCTAACACACAGAAAATGCGTCCACGCGCGTTCATGCGAATCACGCGATACACGCGGAGAAACATGCACCCCCGCGCGTAGGTGCGGGGCGAGACGCAAGGTATGGCACACCGAATCCCGCAGCGCCGCGCGTGATTTTGAACGGTTGGTTGGTTGTACCCAGTATCTTATATATTATTGTAGGCACGATTTGTTATAATTTGACCGTACAAAAACAGTTAGTATAATGGCAGCGTACTGAATGAGTTCCACACCATTTTTATCAAAACTATCGTGATGCTCAGTACTGCAGGACTAATGCGAATAGAGAAAGAGCCGCCGTGCGTGAATCTACAAAACGCAACTACGCGCGTGAGTGCGCAAAAAACCCGCACGATGATACAGATCTTCACTCCCGCAGGAACGCGCGTAGGTGCGTCGACACGCAATATGCAGCATGATGCGGGGCAGTGTGAAAATCGCCTTATGGGCCGTAAACGAGCAGACTTTTCACCTGATGTTACGTAAGTACCTACCTACCTAATCATTTGGTGTCGTTGATTTGACAGACCGCTTGGACAGCAGCAATGGCTCTACAAACATACAGCCAAGATAATTGAGAAATAGAACACATTGAGTCCTATGCATGGCCAGAAGTCATTGATATACCTATTGGGCATTATATTGTTATCTTGAGCGCTTTTTTTGTCAGGTGAAAATCGTCATAATTGTGACTTCTCCCGGCAAGGTTAATGCAAGAGAGAGAGTGTCATACTCTTACTGACTAAAACCCCGTCCCTTCTCGGTGGCCGGATATCATCTCAAGATCCCGACGCCCGGAATGTCGCCTACTGCGGCGGCTGGGGCGCGAGGAGGAGAGGATAGTTCCTTCACGCGCTCCACCTCCTCCCATTTCCTCTCGCTACGAGCCGGGCGGTGCTCAGCCCAAGCAAGGCACACCGCCACCGCGGCACCGTATATTATATGCTCCACCGTGTCCTCTAGGTGGTCTTTCTTCACAACGAAACTCGGGCGACGCGACTCTCTCAAGCTACTCCTCAAAGAGGGGTCTTGCCGTTGCTATAACAGCGCGCCCGATCTTGAGCGCTTGTGTCCACATGCAAGGGCGGATCCACCGTTGTGGGCACGATGGGCATGCCCACAACCACAACCTTAATACACTTGTGATTGAAATAGGTTTGGATCGAAACTGACTATTAGAAATTAGAAGAAATCGTGTCCGACTTCTTCCTAAGTTTATTTACATTCCTAAGGCCAAAGTCCTGATGCTCAGAAAAAAGGAAATAATCTAATTCATAAGTTCATAAACGATTTGCATGATTTTTAATGAGCATGTCCTTGCTCCGAATCGTACTTAGCCGATTTTCTAGTAGCTGTGACCACAACCTTTTTTGAAGTCTGGATCCGCGCTTGTCCACATGATAAACAAGAAGACAAATTACAGGAAGACAAATTTTCATGAACCAGGATAAGAAAAAAAATCATTAGTTTAATCTAAGTAGGTAAATCTGCCAGGGTTGCGGTTGCTAGTGCGATATTGTAGCAGTAGCCCGCCCTAGCTAGGGCGGAAGCCATTTAAAGATTTTCCCCTCTAAAGGATAAATAGGTATTTAAGTAACTATAAAACACTTTTCAAGTGCGGGAGAGCTAAGCTTCGGCACGAATAGGTCAGTTCAACCCGAGTGATACCACGGCCTCGAAGAAACCACAGAGTTGTATTTCGCCGTGTCAGTGAGGTTACCGTAGGCTCAATCCTTTGCCTCCCGCCATCCCGCAATCTCGGAAATCTTAATAATGGCTAAAAGGTCGGTAACTTCTCAGGTAATGTGTACATCTAATAATATTAAAATGAATCGCAAAATGTGTTGGTAAGCGCATAACTCAAAAACGGCTCGACCAATTTTGACAAATCCTTTTGTTTTGTATTTACTATTGTAAGGAGAAGGTTCTTATGAAAGAAAATATTTAAAAAGTAGAGGGGAAAATTGGGAAAAAAGATATTTTCGTTGTTATCGAGAGAGAAAGGATGGACCCGTGCGAAGTGGGGGTAGGCCGCTAGTAAAAAAATAAACTTGAATAGTGTCGATAAAATTTTATTTTACTGGCTGGATTTTACAAAATAGTTATTTTTTTTTATATACCTAATACATTGTAAAACTATGTTACGTTCTTGTCTAATTTCACTGTGTAACAGTTTTTGAAGGAGCGTTGATGGCACTTTCCGTTTTGTTTTATAATTAGGTTTGTCTATATTTTTCCGGGGGATGACGCTTTTCACTACACGTTTTTCTTTATTTTTCGTTGTAATTTCTATTGCTGCATCATGTTCAGTATTAGATTTTTCAATTTTCACTTCCTCTGGTGCATCATCATCTTCAGTATCAATTTTCTCGATTGTAGGTGCAACTGCTGTTGAGTTTATTTTAATTTCTATTGATGATTCAACTTGCTTCTGATCCGGTACTATTAATTTATTTACTGTTTCATTTTCTTCATCTGATGATCCATAGTCACACATAAGCGATGATAAGGCTCCACATAGAACAGGCTCCTTATTAGTAATGTCTTTAGAAATCTCAGTATTTTCATCGTAGTCATCATCAAACAGTTCATTACTGTTCTCAGTTGTGTCAGGAACTTCTTCAGTATTATCCTCCATCTGTATACTAAGGATGCCAGCAAATGGTTTGAGCTTATTCTTTTCAATGGTAGCAGGTGCAGCAGGGATTTTTTTTTGTATTTTCTTTGGGGGATCAAGTACTTCGGTACTTGTAGATATTGAAGTATTAGGTTTGTTAGATGAGTTTTGTTTGGTCCCCCTATTAACACTAGGTTTGGTCTGGTTTCTTTTGTCATCACCTAGTTTTCTCTTGATACCAGGTCCTGAACCTAAATATAAGAACAACAAGATTATATTTTTATTATATCAATTGGTATGTAATGTTAGCATGCAGAGTAGAGGTTTGCTTTTTTTTAATATATAGTATAGATTGGTTACCTTGTGTTTTCCTGTAGTTTCTATAGTCATGGTTCAAGTTCATTTTTTCTCCTCTTGCAATCTTTTCCTGATGTTCAGCTTGCTTTTTCTCTATGTTCGATTTTGTGGGATATTTCTTTTTCCTTTCTTCTCTCCATTTCTGTATTTCTTCAGGATTGTTCAAATTTGCAATTTTCTTGTACAATCCAGTTGAATGTTGCATTTGTATGTGTTTTGTGATGACCTTTGGATGAGCAACAAATTGGCACCCATCTATATTGCATTTCTGAAAACAACACATGTTATTTTTATAAAAAAATATGAATAAGAACTTAAAAATATCTTGGTCCAACTTGTAACAAAGCCTTGTAGTTGGCCATCCTAAGTACACTGACTTTATATGCATTACTTATTTATTTACATGTATTACAAAATGGTAAGTATATTATAAATTAAGCCCCAAAACCATTGTAATGGTTTAACTATGGGGTCATCAAATCTCTAAACAATACAATCACATAATGAAACTATAATTGAGTAATCTGTCTAGTAAACAAAGACAGGATGGTGTTTTCTATATCATTCTTAGTAAGTTTGCAAAGGAAATTAGACTTTAGTGTTACTGTCAACTATTCGAAATTAATTAATATTTACAGAAGTTAGTGTACCTGGTGCTGTTGTTTATGTTTTTGAAGAATGTCTTCTGTAGGAAACCCTCTGTCACAGGTCTCGCACCAATGTTCATCGCTATTTTGATTTTCTGTTTTCACGAAAGTCTGTCCAAACCGTGGATTGTTCCACGGTAATCGTGGTGGTCCGCGAGGTCGCCATTGATTCTGATAGGGCATAGGCCCTCGGTGGAAGTTGTTTAATATTTGTGGACGCGGTGGCCTATTCATTTTACAGCACGGAAGGCGTATCTAACTATATATACAAATAAAATTATTAAATCATAGGAAAACCACTTTATATTTGACGAACAACAACTGATCACTTAACGTAATATTGACTATTATTTCTACAGTAAGCACAAACTATATAATGATGATGATGATGATATAAAAAGTTTTGATTTCAGTAGCATGTAAATAAACATAACCTTAATTTAAAGCTGTCAAATTTTAACATGCCGTGCCATTTTTTTTGGAGTTTATGGCCTGGATACATGTCCTTTAAGCCAAGCATGATGCCGTAGATGCCGTGCCATAGATGAATGCAGTGTTGCCAGTAGAATTTCATTGACAAAGTCTGACCAATAAATATGAAAATAATTAAATATGCAATAGAACATTTTTTATAAAAATTCTGTATGCAAATAGGTATTTCTCAAATTGATACTTAGGTACATGAACGGTATTCTCGAACCGATACGACCTTCAAACCTTTAAGAAATAAATGAAGGCCGGTAACGCGCCTGTGACTCCTCTGGTGCTACAGGTGTCCAGGGGCGTCGTCAATCACTCCGCTCGTTTGCTTCTTATTCCACTAAAAAGAACATCAAGACTAGAAACTCGCTGACAATGACAATAATAATTTTGTCATTTGTCATTTTCACATGACATGACATTTGATTTTCGTAGACAACTATTATAATTAATGTGGGGTCGATTATTGTTTACATTTTGAAAGATAAATTCGATCCAGAGCGACTTAAAATTATATAATTAACAATGAATAATTCTGTTGCAAGCTCGGCGGCAAAGGTAAGTGAGCAAAATAAACACTGACATGGTGGAGTTTCATTGAGTAATATTATGTTTCTTACGTGTACCGAATCTGTTTCAGGTAGGAGAAATATTTACAGAAGCTGGAGCTGCTTTTAATAAATTAGCAGATTTAGCAATGACACTACATCCTATAGGAGAGTCAAATATAAGGTAAAATATTCAAAATAAATAATGGTAGTTACTTTTGGATTCGAGCCATCAATTTGGATCTAACATTGTTTTTCGTGAAGTTTATTTGATTGAAAAGTAACTTAGATAGTTTTGTTACATTAATGCCTAAAGTGCATGTTGTAATTTTCAGTCAGCAGCCCAAAACACCTGTGAAGAAGAAATTAGTAGAAGAAAGGACAATAGCCAGTGGCAGTATACCAGCCCATACACAACACAATATCCACACTGCACCATTATCCCAGCAGGTAGGCCATTTTTTATTTTTGCCTATTCTATGTTAGGTATATCATAATTTAAAAACTCCTGCAATATTTCCCCATAAATCCATGTTATTTTATAAATCTAAAACTAATTAGCTTACTGGCTCTTTTTGTGTCAGGACTCATATTATTATTTATTTTATAATCTTATTTAATTTATTTTAAGCTTAGGTGTACAGATGTGTGTTACTTAATTTATACGCGCAACATTATTTAATTTATTTTAAGCTTATTCAAGTATTCAGAAACTTCTATTATTATTTTTTTATTCAAGTAGTCCAGAAAATACCCCTAGCCTTAGTCTTCTATATTATGGTTTTAATGAGTTATATTTATTTTTAGGTAACACTCAATATGTTAAATGCTCAAGAAACAGAAATAGACGCAGATGGACTTGGTGGAGATGTGAAATTGGAGTTTGAATCAAGTACAGATGAAGTGACCACATGATATTAAATGTATATTCTAGTTAATAAGTTATTTATAAGTAGAAATAACCTATTTGTACTTCTTACTTCAGGAATATGAATAGACAGAAACTGATTATAATCTCTTTACTATCTGACTACCCATATAAACAAATTTCTGCATTAATCTGGGGTAGTATACTGCCTGTCAATGTTTCTATATTTTTGCTTATCATCATCACCTTTATAATATGTCCACTGCAGAATAAAGGCCTCTTTTCTCATAGAGAAGATTCTAAGCATTAACCATTACCATATTAGGCTGGCTGCCACTACTACTAAATTCTGATAACATATTACAAAATTATGTTACTTGATATTTATTGAAATCAAATGTTATCATCTAAGTATAGTCAAGTGGAGGAGGGTATGCCATGATTACCACATTTGGCAGGCAGATAGTAGATCATCATCTTTCTGGAACCATATTGGATGCAACTACATATTATTATATTTTGTCTAAAATCAGTTAAGGTATTAAATGATTCAGTTTATAGTAAAAATATTCAAATTCTAAGTAAGGCAACATGCAGTAGAAACCAGGTTGATTATTTGTATTGAAAAAGTAATGTTCAATTTCAGCAGTACATAACAATAGATAGTATAAGTTATCACATATCAGTAAGAAATACCTTCTTATCCTTAAATTCTGAATTTGTAGAGATTTGGATAACCAATGATGAAGTTGTAAAACAGCTTTCTCCTGTTCTTTATTGTGTTTAATTTACAGTATACTCTTATTTATGTAATGTGTTATGTGCCAAAGTATGTTTCTAAAGTAATTTATTATATCAAGTGAATATGAACATTGAATTCAAATAAAGTCAGTTAGAAGTTTAGTTAGTTATTTCTTTTGTTGACAATAAGTGGGTACCAATATCTTCTATTTTACAGTTGTATCTATTGTATGTAACAAAAATGTAAAAAAAGACTTAAGTAAATATAAATTTAATTGTGATTTGACATGACATGAAATTGTAAATACTTTTTCTCGAAGATACATAAATAAAATATTTTAATAATAAAATATTAACTATTTTATTTTTACCTTAAAAATTACAGTAAAACCTATTAAAGAATTAGTTCAGTTTTTTTTTTTTTTGTGAGGGGAAAATCATCAAATGACTTCTCCCGCCCAGGGCCGGGCAGGAGGGAGTGTCAGACTCTTACTGACTAAAAACCCCCCTGTTCCTTCTCCTGCTCTGTGCCGAGGTCGCTGTGCCTCATTGCGCTTACCCCGCAACCCCGGCTAGAATTAGTTCAGTCATGGAGAACTTAGAGTATGGAAGCTTTGAACTCTTCTATTCCAAGACGAAAATTGAGATTCATATGTTTTAAAGTGAGTGCCTTCACATAAAGTCTTTTCAATAACCAAATCCACATCACTTTTAATTTTTAAACATTCATACAATTCAAAAGAGTTTCCAGACTTTTTAACTCTTCTTTGAGCATTTCTATAGCACTTCCATGGTTGTGGCTCAATAACAATGGCTCTAGAAATTAACTTTAAATATTTTAAAAAGGCTAGTAATCCAGCATCGCCATTGTTAAGGTGAATCCACATTGTTACTGAAAAACAAAATGATAAGTCAAAAGTTCTTTGATTGTAAGAGTCCAAATAACTTTGGATAAGTAGTTGATCATTTTGTTCCATAACATTACAAGTCATAAATTTAATATAAGGATTTTCATTGGCTTCTTTAGCTCTTTCTATCAACGTAGAATCAATGTCCACTGCTAACATATGGATATCACAGTTAGGGTAAACAGTTTTTAAATACGTGTATAAAGCCTTTGATAAGTCTCCTGTGTTGCAACCAACATCTAGACACACGATCCTGTTGTCCACAGGTTCTGGAAACATTTGGGGATGTAGATTTTGAACCCTTTCACTCACATCATGAAATGAATAATAGTTTATAAAGTTTCCAAATTTCACAGCTCCCGGGTCGCTTCCGAAAAAATTAAGATCATTTGATTTTACTTCACTGTCACCGTTCATTTTATAAAATAGTTTTTTCAGTTAACAAGTAAAGATAAATACAATATTTTGTAACCTTTACATGCTATTTGGCATGTGGATTGTGGTTTGTGGATACAAAACGAAAACAACAATATTTGACAGCTGACAGTGATTATTGTTGACAGTTTATGTCATTCCGTGATTTCGCGACTGTCAATAATGTTTCTGGACGATCGAATTACATTGATAAGAATTCTTATATATAAAAATGGATCGCAAAATGTGTTGGTAAGCGCATAACTTAACCCTTAATTTGATTTTGTTCACTGTCAACGTTCAACGCCTGGGCCAATTTTGCTAATTCTTTTTTTGTTTTGTTCGTTATTGTAAGGAGAAGGTTCTTACGCAAGAAAACTTTGCAAAAATAAAGGTGAATAGCGGGAATCAACAACCCTTTCGGTGCCGTAGCAGTGCACTTGCAAAACAAACGACTGACACCGAGGTAGTAAGATATCCGTGCGAAGCAGGGGCGGTCTGCTAGTTTATTATATATATATATATTTATTGAAATGTAATTGAAGCCTCATTAATAGCCTAGATCTTTGACTTAATTCGAATTAAAAAAATAAAGTCCTCATTCAGCAATGTTACTTCACATACAATAAGTATTACATACCAAATCTCATGTTACAATATCTACCCTTCCCAAATTAAATCGAGTATCGAAATGGATCATTATTTTAAGGATGGTGAATTTATAAGAATTTAAGCTGGGATATAAATTAGTATATTTATTTTCTGGCATTGCGGTACTAGTTGAATGATCGGCGGATGCTTAGGTGTCAGGGATTGGATTCTATGTCTGTACTAAATGAGATGACGCTGCTTTTTTTTTTTTATGTAATAGGTCGGCAAACGAGCAGACGGATTACCTGATGGTAAGCAATCAGCGCCGCCCATGGACACTCGCAACGGAGGAGTTACGAGTGCGTTGCCGACCTTTTAGGGATTAGGGATTGAGGAGGGATTGGGGAAGGGGAAGGATTGGGCCTCCGGTAATCTCACTCACACGGCGAAACACAACGCAGTGGTTATTTCACGCCGGTTTTCTGTGAGGCCGTGGTATCACTCCGGTCGAGCCGACCCATTAGTGCCGAAGCATGGCTCTCCCACACTTATGCTTACGGGTTTCCTAAATAAAATTTACTACTTATAATAAAAAGGACGGTATTTGTTAACTCCTAAGCACATCGAGTCGTTTTCGTGTGTTCTTGCGAAACTGCAAAATTAAAATTTGACCGAATCTGGGTGAGTTGGTACCTATACATATATATCAATATGGTTAGGAAAAGCACAGGTTAATTTTCAATAAAGTAGACATTTATGTCACGTTTAAACACCTATTTATAAAATATGATTTGTGAAAGTTACAACTGGCAAGTGATACAAATTCCAAAAGACCATTTCCGTTGTTACATTAATAGGAAAAGTAAGCATAAGTATGCGTGTACACGCATTTGTATTTGACACGAATAGGTAGACATTAAATTTTCAGTGAGCCGTCCATTAATGGTTAATTTACAGTAATTAATAATTTTATTTCATACATTACTTCAGGCCTTTGCCCCTAACGTGATTTCTTTAGTTAGGTAGGTATATGCAGTTTTTAGACACAGATAGCCTGTATAATTTTTTATTACCTATAAGAACAAATTTTCAAATTATCTTTTTAGGCACTTAGGTTTTCTTTATGTACATGATTATTAGCATTTGGTTGTCAGCGTAATTCGTTATAAGCTCGTTATTTTTACGTAGCACCAGGGTGATACCACGACCTCAAACAACCGGTGTGAAACAATGCTTGCATTATATTTCTGTCTGTAAATAAGGATACCATACGACAAATTTTGAAACTCTTCGATCCCAAGAGGGCGACAACACACTTATACCTCTTCTGATGTAACGGTTGCTCACTAGATGATGCGTCTGATCGTTTGCCGACCAATTCTATCAATTGTACCTTAGCTGAAAAACCTAAAAACACACTCTATCACTCCTATTATTGGTAGCAATGAGCTCAAGTGGCTACCAATAATAGGTACCTATGTTGTAGAAAGAGAAAGATTGAATATGCCCAAACGATATGCTGAGGTAGGTATAGGTACTAGGTACTAGGTAATACATAGGTTCCGACCCCGGTTCTACATACCTATATTCGCTACCTTCCAATCCCATCATCAAAACAGCTCGATTATATTGAATCGTCATTAAAATAAGTAATTTACATGAAAATAAATTATTTTCATGATGGTACAACAATTACCTTGGAAAGTGTGGTATTCATGTATTTAAAGTTTATTTTGTAGTTTGTTTAGAATTCAAGTCGACCTACATAGATAAAGGTAATTAAAAGAGAGCGATGATGGATACATCTCTTTTTTTTCAAAAAAGGTAACTTAGCTACTCTCCGGTTCCATTAGAAGGTAGCGTCAGAAAAATCATAATTGCGCAATATTTTTGGTATTTTTTTGTGTGATAGGTCGGCAAACGAGCTAACGGATTATATGATGCTAAGAAATCATCAGCGTCGCCCATGGAGACCCGCAACGACGGAGGAGTTACAAGTGCGTTGTCGTCCTTTTGGGGATTAAGAATTTGGAGATTTTGGAAAAGGGCACGGGTTGGATTTGGCCTCCGGTAACCTCACTCACACGGCGAAACACAGTTTTTTAGGTATTTCACGCCGGTTTTCTGTGAGGCCGTGGTATCACTCCGGTCGAGCCGACCCATTCGTGCCGAAGCATGGCTCTCCCACGTTTAATTATTTTCAATAATTATAAGTGAAAAAAAACAAACAAACTTCCTATCGATAAGTTGTACCTGCTCGTTGTAGATACTGCAGTAGACTTGTTTCTAATCTAAGATCTGGATAACTGGGTGTTGTTACAATACCATACCAATGAGTGGACTTCTACCACTTTTTTATATAGGATAGGGAGACAAACCGGCTGACGGATCAAATAGCGGAAAGCAGTCAGCGTCGCCGCGATGGACACCCGCATTACCAGAGGAGCTACGAGTGCGTAGCTGGCCTTTTGAGCATGGGGGTTAAGGGATTTGGGGATGGGGAAAAAGGGAGGGTTTTGCCTCTGGTAACTCCACTCAAATGGCGAATCGATTCGAGTTCCGGATTCAAGCGCAGAGACTTCCGCGGCCCAGTTCGGAGCAGAAGAAGGAACCAGGTGTTTTATTTGTTTTTTAATCATTAAGAGTGTGACACTTGCTCTCGCCCCACCATGGGTGGGGACAACGGGAGACGAAATTTAATGATTTTGCACCGTCAAAGAAACCTCTACAAAATTTTTGCTCGACTCTTATCGACACTGAGAGGTTCATGATTTGCAGCTGTGTAGATTAACTAGAGAGATAATAAGGATCTCTTGATGATTGATTCATCATCAGACAGTTAGTTTCCAAAATCTTCTTGGATGTACCTATAGTAACTAAATCAGTACCATTGCTGGGTATCTTGTAATTTACACCCCTTGATATGTTTAAGGAATTGATTGAGCTGCAGCTTAGTACACAATGAGTGCATTTGCATGCTTATTTATGTTTAAATCAAATGATTCTCAATCACTGTTGGCTTTTTTATGTGATAGGTCGGCAAAAGAGCTGGCGGATTATCTTATGGTAAGCAATCAGCGCCGCCCATGGACACCCGCAACAACAGAGGAGTTACGAGTGCGTTGCAGACTTTTTGGGGATTAGGGATTTGGGAGGGAAAGGATTAGGCCTCCGGTAACCTCACTCACACGGCGAAACACAAAGCTGTGGTTGTTTCACGCCCGTTTTCTGTAAGGCAGTGGTATGTCTCCGGCCGAGCCGACTCAATCGTGCCGAAGCATGGCTCTCCCACACTTGACTTATCAAAAATTCACTCACTTTCTTGACGAGTGATAATCGAAAACGCTATGAGGCGATTTCTCGAAATTACTGTCAGAACGAGTGCAAATACTTATTAGACCTGGACCCTATATAATGATGATGCAATGCAATGAAACATGTGAACCATTACCTATTCTATAAGTTACCTACAACTAGGTACGTGAATACTACTCGATATTGCTTTTACTTTCTTGTAAACCGTATATAGTCGTGGTTCCTTATAAACTTTGTTTGTAACATATAGGTACATCCTCAGCTCGAGTGCCATGCCACTACAGTTCACCTAGCACCGATGTAATGTCACCGTGTACCTTGCGCACGCGTTCATAAAGACTGAAATATTTTCCACGAGCTCAGATCCAACAGCAACAAATCAACTGAAATCAGTCTCTTACGAATGAAATGTGGGACTGAATGGTGTTCACAACACACGCAAGTGGTTCATAATTACGCTTTTTCACACACGTAAACGTGAAGTAGGTGCAGCACTCGTTGCAATTGGTAACAGATATGTGTCTTGCTTTTTACCGTGCATTTTATCGGAGAAATTGGCTTGGAAAATGGTTCTCGATAATTTTCAAGTTCAGTTACATAAGTGCGCGTGCGGAGAATTAGTGCGGAATAGCGGATGTTTGGTGGTGCTCGACGGCCAAGTGGCGCACAGTTATAAGCTCTCACCCGCGCCACCGCCAGGCAGTCGCTGCTGGACCACCCTCATACACGTTCAGTTATAGTTTTAGTGCTGTGTGTGACAAAAACGAACATGTGTACCGCATTCCGGATATACGTTCTATCAGTTATCTGTGTCGTAGTTGCCACGGGCAATGTGCACGGACCTCGAAGATCCCGTAGGATGGAGGTCGACGATTCTGCGCAGAACGAAATTGACAGTGGGCGAGCTGAAGACAGTTCGTGGTGGTGGACAGCAGAACTCTCTGTTCTACAGAAACTTTACGACGATTGCAGTGCGCAAAAACATATGTCCATGTGTTTGAAGGGCAAGGCTTTAATGGCACTCACGAGAGCAGTGGAACAGGTGATGCAGTCATGTGTTTAGTGTGGTGTGTTTGTCGATGTTACAAGTGATGCCGGTAGTGTAATGATGTTTCTGTTTGTGCTGTACAGGAGAGCGTTCAGCTCGCTGATGGGCTGACGTTGGTGAAGCAAGCTGACGCACCCTCCGCTGTTGCGGAGCCACGCTTCTTCCCTGGTATGTCCACAGAAGACAAGCTGGATGCCATGTTGCGCACGAGGTTCGAGCAATTAATGAGCACGCATACAATCTCAATGGATTTGGCTACGGAAGGCAGGGGTAGAGGTAATGTTGTGTCCTAGCATTCATTTATGTTTTATATTGCCTTCAGTACTTAACTTTTAACATGTTTCAATTGTGATTTTAGGTAAAAAAGTTTTACCTTACCTATTACTCGGTATTTTCACTACCGTAACGATCGTGGGAGGAATGGCACTAAAGACTCTAGCTGCCATTGCTGGTAAAGCTCTGATCGCCAGTAAGGTTGCCCTGACTATTGCTGGTATCATCGCTCTGAAGAAACTGTTCAGCCATGATGGAGCTCCCGCTGAAACTACCTTCCAAGTACACGCTGATGGACACCATAGGTAAGGAGTTGAATATTATACAAACAGCGAAGTGAAATACAATATTATCTTTGAGACATAAATGTTACTTTTTAAAAAATTCTGGAAAATCTTATACACCGACTGGCTTTTGCTTCATATTTTAATTTAAAATCTTTTAATTCTAGTATTTAAATTCGAAGGCGGAACCTGTATGTGGTGAGGCCAGCGAAAGCAGGCGCGGTGGATCCGTACTCCTACGGCGAGCAGACGACGGCGAGCGTGTAGCCCTCGTCTCCACGTCGGGAGCCAGCGCGCGGGCACACCGTCACACCGCCACCCAGCAACACTGCCACCACCAGACCAGACCCAGCTCACCACCGCCTGGCGACTCCATCGCGCCAACACACAAAATAACCTCAAAACCAAAGTACCGTCCTTCGTGGACATCCTTCTGCGACTCAATGGTCGTCCATCTCGATTTCAAATCTATGTCAGTAAATTATTAAATGTAATTTATTTATTTGTGACTACAGTTGTATGTTTTAATGTTAATTAATTTATTAAAGTGATGTAAGAGGAATGTTACACTAGTTTGGTTTCATTTACACAAACCTATTTTCATTTTTTATCTTAAACACGTGCCTGATCAATTTATAAGTTTAAAATCGTAGATATTATTATGAATGAAATAACCTGAAATATATAAAGTACAAACATTTACATAAAATGGTTAGATCATCATAACAATTGGCAATTAGACATGCACTATTGGTTGGATTATTATGGGTGCTTTACAAAGTATTAAATGTCTACGATTTGCTAATGAATGATTCAGGTTGATTCAATCTCCGTTAGCACAAATTAACGTGCGTACAAATCACTTTTTCATATAGATATGGTGTTTTAATTATTGTTGCAGGCCGCTTTCTTTACACGCTCTAGTGGAGAAGAGTCCGAGAAATGTGTCTAGATTTTCCGTTAATGTGGGCGCTACGGCTATGAACGTGGAAAGTAGAAAGTTTTAATCGATTCACTGCACATGCACGAATACTGTTACAGTGCATAGCTATTTTATTATCATCTCTACCGTAGCGTGTATTTATTAGGCGAGCGCTACTTACACGATCGATTAGTTCGTTAGAGCCGAATAAATAATGTGTTAATGAATGACGGAGTCCGTGTGTGCATGCAGCTAACTAGCTAGATAGTGGAGCATTTTACAGGCAGAGGAACAGGTCCGCTGTGGTGTAGCGTTTGTTCGGCTGCGGAAGGTCAGCTCGTTGATTAGCCGTGCGCCGGTAAAGGCCGACCACAGCGCACGTTTGTGAGCCCGGACGCTGTTTATAATGCAGATATGTGTTTGCCCAATCGGTGCACGCTACGCTGGCTATATGGCATCGTTAATGCGGCTGGCGTCTCTTTGCATACGCAAATATAGGGCGGGCGGACCAACGCTGATTAAGCGGTGCAGCGGCGGTAGCGCTGGCTTCATTTCTGTATCAGGAATTGTGAGCCTCACTTGATTAGTTTTTAGCTCGTATGTTTATATGACAAATTCAGTGGTTCATGTAAATTTGCTTTGAATTTACGTAGTTAGGTACACATACGAGTTAGTTTGTATTGATTATGTTTCTAATTTGATAGTTTCATTGTGAATGTTTGTACTACGAATTCAGATCAGTTGAGAATAAGATAACTTAGTATGTGCTACGCATAATCAATGTAGCAGCTATTAGGTGTGACCCCCTGGGGACGTCAGTCGGGTCTGGCCAGTGTCGGCGGTGTCGGTGCTAATATTATCTGCTTGCTTACCTTAGTCTGTTCAGGTGTCAGTGTCGCCCACCCATCTGTCCACACCTCAATACTTGATGGCTGTCTACTCCTCGAATTAGACTAACAATTCAAGCGATGTCTCCATAGATTACTGATTTAGGTGCTAATGCAAATCGTGTGCTAAATGGAAGCTAGCTAATGCATACACATACATACCAGTATGTATATTGTGTATAAACAGAATTAATAATAGAATGTTGTAGCTAAAGTAACGAACATTCTGAGTATTGGACAATCTACGTGAGTAATGCATTTTGTCGATGTTCATACGTTTGTGTAAGTAAATAGAGGACGCGAGGCTGCGGGCGTCACTCGTACAGCGAAGTTACTTTACGGGCGAATGGTCAAAGTATTCGACATAAACCTATTTTGTTCTCTTCTTATATTGGATGTGCGCTCCCTTCTTCGCCTTCACCCGCTGCCGATGTCCACTGCTGTAGGGTTGCTCCTGTACACAGAACAGTTAAACAAATAATTAATAACTTTTTGTTTGTTTAGAAATACAAATAAAATGCGATATATAAAATAATGTCTTTCTAATCAATACACATTGTGATGAAGTGTGACAATACCACACGTTGTCATTATTTAAATTAATGTTAATATTATTTATTTAAGGAATGAAATAAACTCAATAATTGAACCGGAGTACACTTAGTACCTACTAACAATTTTTATTTTGTAGACAATGATAATTTAGAAAAAAAATATGTTTTAAATGTGATTTTACAATTCAAATATCAAATAGGTGTACATATCTTTAGGATATCAAATAGGATATATTGGTTTGATATATACTTGTATAAATAGTTAGCAAATAAAGTAAGGCAAATGAGCCAAGGCTGTATACATTCTAGTTGACAAGCTGGTCTAATCTAAGCACATTACAGAAGCCACTTTCACTCAGTTACAGCTTGTTCGACTCGTGTGGCTCCTGATACTATGTACTGATATCGGATTACCACTCCACAAACCTTACTTTCGTTAGTTTTCATGCGATAGCTTTCTTATGAAATTTAATTTCAATTGAAGCTTGTCTGATTGGATGTGTCGAACAGCCCTGGCTGGGAGGGGGTTATGTGAGGAAGTTTTGCCGGGAATTATGTTGGTACGTGCCAAAGCCATTATTGCTGTGAGAAAAGTTCATCAATTTCATTTCTGGCCCCATGCACGTACGCCGCGATCCGAGCTCGTGCCTCATACCTAACTGATATCGATGTTCTTTTTATTGTTACAACCTTTTTTCTCGCTTCATTTGTTACTTTGTTCTTACCTACGTACATGACCTGCAAGATCTTTAAATTAAAATTCAACCAATCTGGATACCGTCAGAATCATTATAATAATAATCTGTCAACATTTAATCCGACTTAATTTCACTTAAAATTATAAGTTTTTTTTAAATCTTTTTTTTATTAAAAGGGTTTTTTTCCATACAGAAGATTTCAGCCTTATTATTGTGTACAAAATTCAGTACTTACTAAAATTACAAGTTGTAACATTGTTTATGTAAAATCAAGGGAAGTTGCGAAGCAAGCCCAACACAAGTTCCTATGCTAATAACTTACCTACTGGGTTTGTCTAAATTTTTGTGATATATGACAATGTTACAACTTGTTACAATAAAAGCATTTTTATTATAACTTTCGTGAGACATTCTAAATTATTTATTATGTTTTCGGCTTGAAACCTCTAGCATGGCTTGAAACTAGTCGAGTATCTCGTCAAATTATTACGTGAGTAAGCCGAAAACATAATAAATAACATTTTTATTTTATTTAAATCCCTAGAACTTTACTGTCTATTTGTCGTCTTATTCATGTTGACAAAATGTGTAAGTTAACGATAAAATGACATTTCTTGATATTGATGATTTTGATAACGTTGGAAATTTCCATCTTATTTGTATTTTTTAAGAGTACTACTTACAATTTCAGCGCTTAACTTCACCATTTTGTCAGTTTCTATTCTCTCACATCAGTAACGAAGAATCATTCTTAATGAACATAAAAATCTTCAACTAACGCCTAGTCAATTACAAACCCTAACATTTGGAGAATTTCTAAATTAACTAAAAATATAAAACGGTTTTATTAATGCTATATTTTATGTCAGAAGAGTGAAATGTATGTGATGTGTGTAAAATGTAGCGAAGTGAAAGTAATGCGCGCGCACACGCGCACAATTGTTAATGGAATTATTGAAATCTAAGTGCATTTGAAATTGCTCAGTAAACTGGAACTTTCTAATTTTCCAGCAAATATGATTTTGTCGTGGAGTACGAGGCGGGCGATAGATATGACTCTTGGTACAGCACTATCCAAAGGAATTATGTCGATAATGACGTAGAAAATTTTCATTTTTAGGAGGAACTATTGGTACGTGGTACTGGTGATACCACGGCCTCACAGAAAACCGGCGTGAAACAACCACAGCGCCGTGTGTTTCGCCGTGTGAGTGAGGTTACCGGAGGCCCAATCCTTCCCTTCCCCCGATCCCTCCCCAATCCCTTAATCTCCAAAACCCTAATCCCTAAGAGGTTGGTAACGCACTCGTAACTCCTCCGTTGCGGGTGTCCATGGGCGGCGCTGATTGCTTACCATCAGGTAATCCGTCTGCTCGTTTGCCGATCTATTACATAAAAAAACCTACCATGTTATTAATAATATCTATAGAATATAGTTGAAGCAGTAATCATTAGCAGCAGCTCTCAGATGAATTTAAATCTCTTCTTAATAGTTGTTTTTATACCCATGTCTTTGGAAGTTCTTCTGCTTACTTATTCCACCTGCTTACTAAGACCTGAGCATACGGCGTTCAGTTCAGACGTAGTAACGTTCCTACGTTTTAGATATTTTTTAAGCCTATTTTTAAGAAATAAATAAGTACGATATTTGACACAATTTGACCAGTTGGAAACTTTATTGTGTATCGCGGCTCGCGCGGTAGAACGGAGTGATTTTAAGTCGGTAAGATTCTGACACCTTTTCTGTGACAAGAGAAGGGATACGATAAATGCCGATTTAAAAAAAAACATCGCTCGTCTAAAACCACCCCTACGTTTTATCAATTTTTTATAGCACTAAATAGGTAACTTTGTAGGTACATTAAGTCTAATTTCCCGATAGTTAATATATTAGTATTGCATTGACCGATAGTTAGTCTGGTTTTATTTCTAGACGTAGGTAAGTATTGGTCGTAACGGGTCGTACATTAAGGTGCTATTAAGTGTCATTTTCTGCGTACGTGCGCCTTGAATTGCATCTATAATTCTGTAAATAATCGGCGCAGTGGGTGAACGATGTAGTGAAGTAGGTTTCGGTTGCCATAGATCCGGATAACAGTTTAAAACATATGTTGTGCAGAAAATTCTTAAGAGACTATCATGATGGTGTTATTCGTTTTTATGGGATAGGGCGACAAAAGAGCACTCAGATCACCTTATACTGTTGCTGGCCTCTATGGAATTGGAGATTTGAAAACTAAACAATCTGGGGATTGGGTTTACGTAGGCAGAATTTGATCTCCAATATCATCAACCACATGGCGCGAGGCGGAACACAACGCAAGCATTGTTTCGCGTAGTTAGTTAAAGTAAAAAAAAATATACTTAAATTGATCAAAATTTTTCCTCACAGTTGTCGTGAGGTGTACACCAGGGGTGTTAGGGAGCTCCGGAACCGTAACCGAACCTATCGGATATCCGATTTTAGGTATAAAAACTATCCTATGTCCTTTCTCGAGTTCCAAACTATGTCTGTACCAAATTTTACAGAAATCGGTTCAGTAGTTTAGGGGTGAAGAAAAGACAGACAGACAGAGTTACTTTCGCGTTTATAATAATAGTTTGGATGTGAAAGTTTGTGATGAATGGATATACGAGTATGTTAGTTATTCTTTCACGCAAATACTTCATGACTGATTTGGTTGAAATTTGGTATCTCGATAGGTGACCCTGGTTTAACACATTTCGCTCTTCTTTTTATCAATATACGACGCGTGCAAAGTCGAGGGCGGAAGCTCGTTATACATAAATAATATGTGTATATCTACTTTTTAATGCGCAGGTACCTATTAGACCGAGATCTTCAAGAAAAACAATACTACTAATGAAACCAACAGCTTTTCGATGTATCTTATTATATTCATGCATGATTACACGACTACATTTGCAATTCATTAATTTAAAATTCCTGAAGTTATTCTTTGTTATGACTTTTTACACATTTTATTCTTAAAAAACGTTAATGATTCATCTATTTACGAGTTTATTCACATTCATGATAAATGGAATGGATACAATTCTACGTTTACTGTTACATTGTTAATACTATTAGATAGTTTAAAATATCAAAATGATGGGTGCGCGGTTGGTAGACGACCCCAATTAGCTCCGGCGGGGTGGTCAGGTGGTCATCGTCGGCCGCGAGTGCACGGTCGGCAAGACCTCCCGGGGAGACAACTAACAGACCTTGACTTTACTGGGTACATTGGTTACAGTCGCAGAACCTCTCTTCCAACAGTATTACGGCCTAGTATTGTGCGCCCTGGTGCTAGCGTCAGGTGGCCAGGCCTCCACCCCCTCGCTCGCCCGTCATTATGTGTCATTAGTTTTGCGACACTGACCAAATGACTGGTCTGCGATATCGGATGACTCATTCCGTTCGTGATTAGTCTATTTAGTTTTATCAATGTCTGTAGAAAGGTAATTTTCAGTTCTGGTTACCTGTTTATTTCTCTTGTGTTATGCAGAAAACTCTCGAGCCATAAATTGTCTTTCTTATATTATGACAAAGTTTCTATTTACTTTCCCGATCGTTGGTCTCCGGTGATTATGAAGATAACAATAATTCCATTTACCCCATGATTACTTTCAGTGCATGCTGTGCATGATCAGAGAGTGTTAAATTAGTTTATAAATATCTGATAAGATAAATTGTAATTAATGAAAGCGCTCGCCGAGATCGGCTCGTGATCAGGCGCCCTAATACCATAAATTAAAATTAGCAGAAATAGCAACAACAGATCGATGTTTTCCTTTAATTGCTTTCTTTCTTATATATTGGATTTGAAAACGGCAGGGGTTTTAAATATTCATTAAGTTGAAAGTGGGAAGATAAGATTGTAATAAAAATTCATTATTTGTTCTTTTAGTGCGATGAATCTCGAGTGGTCACATAGATTTATATATGTATAGAATATCTACTGTAGTTAGTTTGTTAAAGAAGTTTTCAGACTTTAAGTTCAGTCAAGAACCTTCGGAAATAGCTTAAGTTGGTCTCAAGATAAATACGACAAGCGAAACAGATCCCATTTGTGTACAGTAATAAGTCTAATCAAAGTAGTTCCTAAAAACAGTAGGTAATTACACGCACGGCTAACGAGAGCGGGCCAGCGGGCGGTGGGCAGCCGTGAATTTATTCGGAGAGGCTTCCCGGCGCGCAATGTAAAGTGTATATCTGAAGGAAAACGTTTCATTCCCGCCGGAATATAATCGTCCGGTCGTAATTTATATTGTCTGCTGCAGAGGCGAGTCCCGCTGCACATTCATTTATTTTATGTGCCATTTACAATTGTCGGTCGATGGTCAAGGGAGCGAGCGAGGGGCGCGGGGCCAGGGTGCGGTGAGGGGGGGCAGGACGACGGTGCCTTCGCATTATAAAACCGTGCGGTCATCTGCGAACTCCGTAATGGTATTTGTAATAGGAGCGGTCCGCATGAGCTGTGATGACCGCCTCACAACACATGGGTCTGATGCTTTATTTATAAGATTAATGTGCTCCGGCCCGATGCTTGCGGTACCCACCGCTCTTACTTAAATTAATATTTATACCACTTGAGAAAATTATACAAATTGGATTTTGTTCAAAACATCATAAATCTTTATTTTTATGTAAACTTTTAACATCAAAAAGTTGGAGTAAGAATTTTCTTTAATTGAGTTTTTATAGTCCGTCGTCTCAGGTGCCTGTCTTTCTTTTTAATATGCTAACGAATGCATTCTATTTGTATGGTACTTAAACAAAGTCTCCAGGAATTCATAAAACCCAATTACAGTTGAAGCGTCTCCGATAAAGAAAGTTCCTAATTTTGTAGAATTCTCCATTCTTCTTTAGTATTTAATTGTCAGTCGTTGCATTTTTCGCATGAAAGTCGAACGAGCAGCGTCGGCGGGCAAGAGGCTGAGTGGCTCTGTATTCTTTTGTTTTTTAATTATAACGCTAGCGTCCGTGGGGTGACGGCCCCCCTGCCAAGTTTCTGGTGGAGGTGCTTTCTTGTTAAGCGCGGCGGCGGGCGCTCGCCTCCTACGTGCCTCGGCCATTCATTTCGTAGAAACTTATAACCTGACCCGCGTACTTATGAGCGTCGCCAATAAATATAGCGATGACCGGAGGCGAGGTCCCTGTCGGGCCCGCACCGCTCGGCCGGCGCTCGAGCGGGACGGCGCACGCCGTAGGTTGCCGTCGCTCGCGGCGAGGCATTGTTAGCTAAATATCTAGGTGGTCAGTTGGGCGGGCGGGGGCCGGGGCGCCTGAAGACGGGCGGGGCGGGCGGCGAACGTGCCGGCCCGGCGCCGGCCGATGTATTGAGCGCGTATTGCAGACGCGGTCACGCGCTGCAATATTGCGTTCGCTCTGCGATATTGCCCCTCGGTAACTCAATTTGATAAATTGTACAAAGTTCGCTTGCTCTGTGTTGCCATCAACTACATCGACATATTGCCGTGCACGTGCATATAATGTAAAATGTGGGCTAGGTATTTCATATCTATATTTGGAAACACATAACTTCATGAAAATTATTGAGGAAATTAATGAAAAATATACTCATGTACTACGTCGATTTGTAGTTTCACCCACACACAATATGTTAGGTATTTTATAGTTCAAAGTTCGTGCAACAATTTTTTGTACATAAAAAATAAACCTGCAATGTCCAGGAAGCGGACAATATCGGGCCGGGCGACACCGGGCGCAAGTTATGTGTATAGCGGCCACCACAAAATTGTGTCTTTACGAGCACGCGCCGCCTACTCCACCAAGCTTTTGTATTTTTTCCAACTGGTCATTTTAGTACCAGACTTTCAGGAAATAACTGAAAAGTTGTAATCATTTTTAACGTATAGGTAGGAATATTATTTCGTGCTTTCTGATTATGTGAAAACATAAAAATCTAGATATGAAAAAAAGGGAATATAAATTAAAATGTTTAGGCATACATTGCTGGTGTCTACTTAGCAACTTAATAGTTGTCCAATGGTCATCTGGAGACGAGATCAAACCTAAGACGAAGACGTAAACTCGCTTAGGTTCACTAACCCATTTCTACAAGGTCATTATGCTGAATATCAGCAAATAGTTTAAAGAAAAGTACTTTAAGGTACACAGGTAATGGTGTTCGAAAGTGATGGCTTAACCACCTGTTACTATTCACAAACTGGTTCAAACTTTTAACCCGTTTCTGCTGTACGGTAAAAAGTGCGGCCATAAAGAAGTTTTTGTGTCTATTCCAAGCATTTACTAGTGCATGTGAACACATAAAAACTTTAGATGGATACGTCTGTTCTAGCGTCACCAAAATATTTTAAATCAAAGTATTCTGTTACAAACTCATTTTTGCTACGCTAACGTTTCTTTGTAAGCACCTTCCTTATCAGATCTAATACAATAATATAGAGTCCATTTTCCTCATCGGGAAAATAAATTGATTAAATAATTAAGATTTATTACTTATTTACTTTTATAGTTTTGGAGTTTGACATTAAGATGGATGAAGCATGTTATTTGCTTTGCGCATTGTTAGTGAATCAACTATGTGTATGGGTATTACTGTTTCTGTATTAATTACTCGTCGAGACACTTTCTAGTCAGGTTGAAAAGGAAATGAAGCGTGTATTGTATCGGCACGGTGGCAGCGGTGGCGTGGCCGGTACGGCGCGGCGGACGGAGCGGGCCGGATGCGGGTTGCGTGTGGCCGCGGCTTCAGCTCAGAAAATGATTTATATTGTTTGTGTAGCGGCGGAGCGGGGTGAGCGGGGGGCGCTTTCTCAAGCAGATCCAGTCCACTGCAGATATGGGCGAGTATTATTATTGATCCGGCTCGGGCGGTCGGCGGTCGGCATTTCCTACCGCTCATACTCGGGCGGGCGGGGGAGCCGGCCGCCGCCCGGCATATTTATTGAGGCGCGCGGGACGGCACACGACGTAAAACTTATTATAACGACGCCGACCATCTACTTCGGTGCACTAACCTTTAATGAGAGGCGTAGGGCGCCGCGAGGGCGGAGGGGCGAGGGCCGCGGCTCCTCATCCAATCCTAACGCGTTATGATATTATATCAGGTCATATCGTCCAATCCCTGCTCGTTATGATATTGTAGGCGGGCAGGGAAGTGCAGCCGACAGTTTTCCGCGTAGGGCGGGCGCCTTTATGATATACAGTTATGAATATAATGGGGTGCGGGCCACGTCTGTACCTATCAGGTACGAGCCACTTTTTACATAGCTATCGAGTTATGACTAACGTACATATTTACTGCTGCATTTTTTATGAGTATTGTTTACTTGTTGGAGCTCTTTATGATAAGTAGTTAAAGATTATTATTACATATTTATATATAGATTTTTTTATCATAATCAGGCAAAGTTCTTTCAAGAATGAACCTACATTTCATATTTGTATATGGATTTAGTATACGACAAACAAAATATGAATAAACTTTATGGATGTCTAGTTTTGTTTACAAACTTGTATTTCTATGATTGAAAGTAACCTTTTCTATAACATAGAGGATATTACACCCGAGGGGTTGTAGTTTGATACTTTTTTGGTACATTTCGATATTTGTTTTCCTTAAGTTTTCCTGAAATACATGAGGAAGGAGTATTATTGAATAGCTTTCGGATGAAATTGTATTAGGAAACTATAAAAAGTTACCTTGGAGTAAACAAACGGTGTTTTAAATACCCCAGTCAGCATTAATTGTATTTTATGTTCACAGAAACGTTTTGTTTTTTCTTTCAAGTGACTAGACGCAATGGTGAAATATTGTAGTAGGCTTATGTCAATGATATTAATCTATAGATACTAATAGATATTATAAAGCTGAAGAGGTTGTTTGTTTGAACGCGCTGTTCTCCAGAAATTCTTGTATATTTATAAAACATATAGGTACTTAATACTTTTTTAGAATTGTAGTAGTATTGTAAAGTAATTTCTTACAGTAGAGTAAGTTTTTAGAAGAATAATGTTACTAATTGTATACGAGTAGGTACCTATTTGAAAATACCTACAAATAAAATCGAACTTGAAAATATGTAAGACGCATATTATATCCTTGAAAGATCATTTCTTAGGGTTTTATAATTGTAAGCAGGTAAGGCACTAGCTTCCACCAGCGGCTTCGCCCGCTTGGTATATTGATAAATAGTAGCCTATCTCCTATTCCGTATATCATATGCTTGTGCCAAATTTCATTCAGATCCATTCAGCCGTTTTGGTGTGCTTGGGTAACAAACATCCAAACATAGTGTAAGATAAGTAATAAAAAAAAAATGCGAACTAGGGCAAGAGATCAAATTCGACAAACAAATAAAGTTGACGATATTGCTGAAACGATTATGAGACTAAAGTGGCACCGTCGACCGCGTTTAGGTAAACGTAGCTTAAGGCGTTTTCCATCTAGGTGGACTAACGATATCCGTAAGATGGTTGGCAGTGCTTGGATGACAAGAGTTAAACATCGAGCTCAGTGACCTGCAATTGGAGAGGCCTATGTCCAGCTGTAGACAGAAACGGGGTGATGATGAAGAAACAAATGGGAATTTATCTAGCTTGGTATCTTTTATTAGATAGTGAAAACTCTAGGGGGAAGGTGCTGATAGCCGGAATACAGGCTATGCCTAATTCAGTTGCAGACGCTAATCTCACAACTTTTACTGATATTATTGCCATATTACTATTGTAAAGTAGGACTAAGTTTTTGGGAATAAAACATTTATTTATTTATTATTTATCACGACTAGAAAACATATTGATGGAAGATATTTCGTTTCGTTTATTGTTTATAAAAAAATGTGATACAGAAATAAATAATGGTTGAACCACACACTGTTTTTTATACCATAGTCACACAACACGGTAGCAATCGCAGTTCGCGTTGTTCGTTCCCGAGCGAGGCTTATGACATTTCAGTAGCTCTCTATCGAATATCGCATTCTCCATTTCGACTGTGAACGGAGAAACGTTTGATTTTATTTTCGTCGATTTTGCAGAATCGTGACCTGAAACGTAGATAAGGATTTGTTGCGCAACTTTCATCTGCGACCTTCTCGAGCCTAGCGATATAATTCTGATTTAATGCCATTCAACCTTCTTAGTAACGGTTACGTTGTCTCGAACCTTCTACCGATTTTTTTTTCTCAGAATTGTACTATTGTCAAGTTTATTTTGTTGCTGAGTACTGGCTAGGCTTTCTTAATGTTTTTTTTTAACATAAGAGATATGTTTTGTGACGGGATCATCTTTACATGAAAAGGTGCTTTTTTAGCTTTGACTACTTTCCTAACGTAACGCGAGGGTTTTTAATGTAATACTGTGTCAAGTAAATTACAATTTATGATGTCATCACCACCAAACCATCTGCAACTGCTAAGTTTCAGTTATTTGTTCTTGATAAGTTCTGAATTGTTCTCACTGCTCCTCGAAGTAGTCTTGTACGACGGCTTCAAGCGCTCCGAAGCACGAACAAGATCGGACCAGACACAATCATAAATCTATTTCCATATAAAATCATACTGTTTATATTAAAGTAACAAATTTACTTCTAAATTGTTTAGAATTCGTCGTAATAAAACCGTATTGAATTAAACAGCGTCCTTGTTCAGCAAATGAGTTGATAATAAAATGATAATAAACAAGCGCCTTTGTTACAAACTATAACAGATCGGTAATTGCTTCCACGATACCTCCTCGCGTTATTACGCCTTTTACGACGCCGTATGGGGTGAATAAAACATTTTTACGAGCGGCCATGGTGCTATAATACATACACGCACATGGCTAGGTACATACCTACAGGTAATAAAGTATAAACTCAATATATACAATTGTACCTGTCCCTTATGTGACGCTCTCGTTACACCCGTATTCGGACTTTATTGTTATAAGACAACGGTTTATATTTCAATGTAATTGTTAGTAAATTTAAGCATACTGTAACTATTATTAGTATATAATGAAAATAGATAGGAGTAGGCATCTAAAGTATAATGTATGTTTGAATAAGTATTAGGTATGTATATACATAAGTTCTAGAGCAACTTTACTCTCAATAATTCTGAATAAAATTTTATATATATTATAAAGAAAAAGTAACTCTGACTGAACCACGTTAAGTATTATCTAGTTAAATTCACATTACTTTTTGCTAGTGTCGTGATTAAAATATAGGTGGCGCTGTCAGTATCAAATCGTCTGAACTCCTCATGTATAAATACGGTCTGAAAATAGTCAAAATAGACAATCAGAAATATAATAAAAACTATCGTTAAGGTACCAACCAGTAAGTTTTCGTATAAGTTGTATATAATATGAAAGTGAAATTATTGATTTCAGTATTTTTTTTGTCATTGTAGTATCTACTTATACTGATATCGTTTTCGTGAATATTTACACTGTTAAGGACTTCATGTAAATATTTAACTGTAATTTTGTTCACATATAATATAACAGTCCAATGTTGGCATTAATACGCATCTTATGGTTGACAAATTGAAGAATTAAATATAGGTGGCGCTGTTAGTATCAAATCATCTGAACTCTTCGTGTATGAATACGATCTGAAACTAGTCAAAATAGACAGTCAGAAATACAATAAAAACTTTCGTTAAAGCACTAGTAACTTTTCGTATAAATCGTATACAATTTAAAGGCGAATTTATTGATTATAGTATATTTTTAACATGGTATTTATACCTACATCATTTTTGAGAGTATATTTTTTTTTATGTTTACAATGTTGTGGATTATGTATTGTGTAAATATTTAACTCTAACTTGCTTCGGAAAATAATATAACAGTCGAATGTTGGCGGTAAAAGAATATTTTAGGGCTGACAAAATGAAAATTTATTTAATTTAGATAAGTATCTGTTGAAGACGTGCTTTATTAAACAAATCAGTTTCCTTATTGATCATTTCCATCTGTGGGCCCGAGGGAATGCTTGTCTATTACAAGCCCTATAATAAACCGATCAGATTATAATAGAAGTCGGAAGCGCGCAGGGTGCACGACAGTCACGCGCCGCGCGCGTACACATGGCGCGACTCACTCAAATAGATTGCGTCATAGCGTAATGTCGTCCCCGAGCGCAAAACAATTATAGATACGAAATGAATAAAGTATCGCCGTCCACCTCCGCACCTCACTCCCGTCTCATCTCTAACGTTTTCTTTGTAATTTGCTGTATACGGGTAATGTAACATTTGTTGAACGAAGATACAATATATATTTTTTTATTTTTTACTCAGGGGACACTTTTTCGACCCTCGTCCAAGCGGTCTCTTTGAAAAGTGGACATCGGAACGCGAGGGAAGGAGCCCCCGAGGACACTGGACAGAAAATGCGTTGTAAACATTGCGACTACATTCAATTTCCCGTCATTTTTCAAACTGATAAATAATTCTGTCATCGAACGTTCGGACAGGGGTCGCTATGAAGTGATTGTCGATGGAAGGACGCCGACGCCGTAAAAAATAGCGGCCGATGAGACGGCCTCTGCTTCTCGTATGTGTGCGATAAATTTCTTTTTTATTATCAGATATCGAGGGACTCGGGAATCGAATAAAGCGCTCATATTTAATTCATAAGATACCGGCCATACAACACTACTCCGGACTATTTTATTTAAGATGTTGAAAGATTACGGATACTGGATGCGTGCTTATTCTAAGCAGTACCCTCGACCAACTTCTAACTTTATCAGCCATGCGTACTAGGAACTTTTACGTTCCTACATTCGTCACTTGCAACTTGGTTGATTTAAACGCTTTTTTAGGTCTAACCTAAAATCCAATATAAACAACTTCGATTTGACTGCATAGAAACGTTTTTCTAAGTCGTATTATGAAAAGGCAGTGAAAAAGGAATAAATTGAAATTATTTAATTTATCTTGGCAGTGCGTCTTGTGTCCGGCAGATGTGTTCAATACATTTAGAGTCCAGGCGAGAACCGGGGGACACCAGGAGTATTAAATAACTCTCCGACAGCTAAATGAGTAGGGGACGAACCTACGGACCTCCACACGGGATTATTCTGCACTCCGACACCA